TCACCAATCCCTCTCACTCACTCCTCGGAGGGGACTCCTCAAGCAAAGACCGGTCTCAGGAGGAGGGAAGGGGGCAACCCCTTAATCCGACGCAGCGCACAGTTCCCCGCCTTCTGAGATCTCCGCGCCTTCCGGGCTGAGCCAGGAAAACACAAGCCAACCCGCTCTTTCCCTTCCACGGCCCACCCGCTAAAAGCCCCCCTCTCTTCCTCGCCCGCCCCTCCCGGGACAAACGGAAAGCCTGAACGTTCCAGCCGGGATGGAGAGAAGTCGCACCGAGGACCCCGTCATTAATTTGGGAAGAAAAATCCACCTTGGGTACACCCTGCAGTGACGGGGCAGGGAGACCCGGCAGGGATGAGGGCCACCGTTTTGATGATTCCTGAAGAGGAGGTGTGGAGACTTCCCAACCAGGTTTCCCAAGAAAGGGCGGGGTCTTCGGGGTGGGATGGGGTGGCAATCCTTTACCGAAAGTAGTAGCAGGTGTAGAAGTGTGTGTGTGTGTGTGTGTGTGTGTGTGTGTGTGTTGTGTGTGTCGCAGGGGCTGGGGAGGGATGAGACCTCCCTTAGTTGGGGGGGCGGGGATGTCTAGCAGGGGCCGGGAAGGATGAGACTCCGTGTGTGTGTATATGTCACCGACTCCCCTTTCAACCCACCGCCCCCGCGCTCCTCCATTTGTCCAGTCCGGCCCAGGGGTCTAGCCAGCCGGGGCCCTCGGTCCCCCAAGCCCGAGTCCTCACCTGGTCCCCGGGGCCGCGGTGCAGGCGGAGCAAAGGAGAGCTGACGGAGCCGCGGGCGGGCGCGGGAGCCTCCGCCCTCGCGCGTGAGCCTCCGCCCTCGCGCGTGAGCCTCCGCCCTCGCGCGTGAGCCTCCGCCCTCGCGCGCGCCCCAGCCAGCCACGCCCCTCCGCCGCGTGGCCCCGCCCCGCTCTTCCCCTTCCTTTCCCCGCCCCTCCCCTTCGCTCGGCTCCAGCCTCCAGCCGCCCTCCTAGGGCTGCCTGCTCCAGCATTTTGGAGCTTCCGGGAGAAACCCGAGCGAGGAGCACGTGAAGAAACTAAGGCTCAGAGAGAGTTGCCGTTCCTACACTCTTGGCTTGTAGTGAGGGTGCCCCGGCCATCTCTGAGACAGGTGAACTGGCAGGTGTGAATGGGTTTTCACAGGGTCTTAGGGCTTCTGCCTAAATACCCTGAGCTACCTCTTCTGGAAGCATCTCTGGAGCTCAGGACAGGCAAGTGATGAGACGGTTCCTTGACTGAAAGGTTTTCATCATTACTTCTCAAATGCAAATATGAGCCAATGAGACCCTTAAAAACTCTGTTAGGTTAGTATCTCCATTTTATACATGAAAACGTCTAATCCAGAGCCGGAACGCATGTTCCCTGACCTGAAATCCAGCCCTATAGCAGGGTTTTTCAAGGGGCAGCGCTATTGACATTTTGGGCAGAAAAGTTGTGTTGAGGGGACTGTCCTATGAGTTGTAGGATGTTTAGCAGCATACCTGACCTCCAACCACTAGATGCCAGTAATACTTTCCTTCCCTGCAAACAACCAAAAATGTCACCAAACATCAGCAAATGTTCCCTGCATAGTTGTCTAGGTTGAGAACAACTGCCGTAGAACATACTGGTGAAGACAGTGAACTGGGCCCAACAATCCCAGACTCTGGTCCCAAGTCAGACTCTTACTTGGAGAAAAGGATAGATGAGAAGTTGGTCTGCTACTGCACAGTTCTCAGGTTCCATCCATCCAGGGAAATGTATTGCTATACTTTCATCCGTGACCTATGTCAGTAGCCATCTGGAAAATAGCTCTTTAAGAAAGAGAAAAGCAATCACAGGGTTGTCGTGAGGACTGGTGCCATAATGGCTGTAAAGAACTTAGCACCTATCAGAAACATGGGAGGAGCCCAAAAATATTTAATGTATTGTGCTTTTTTAAACCTATGTTTTTTTCAGGTTTTTTTGTTTTTTTTTTTTTCTTTTTTTAAATTGCAGTATAGTTAGCGTATGACATATGACATATAAGTATTAGTTTCAGGTGTATGACAATGATTCAGTGTTTGTTTATATTGTAAAATAACCATCACAATAAGCATAGTTAACATCTGTCACCATATACAGTGACAGAATTTTTTTCTTGTGATGAGAACTTTGAAGATTTACTCTATTAGTAACTTTAAATAGGTGATACAGTTTTTACTTCTTTCACTGATTTTGCCCATCCATCAAGGATGTATTAGTTCTACCAACTAATATTTCTAGAAATAATCAGGCTAGTGGATTGAGAAATAAGCTTAGGGTATATAATAATAATAAGCTAAAGGATCCTGCTCTAACTCCTAACTCTGCAAGAGCCAAGAAAGGGAGAAGCTAATGGTGAAGATAGGAGGACCAACAGATGTGTCCCTAAATTTTTACGTTTCAGGCAGTTCTGTCTGGTTTCATGCCTTNTGTGTTTTATCTGGCAACCCTATATGCTTGAAGTTAAGGGATTTGAGGCCTGCATCCTCACTTGGAAATTACTGATCTGTAGATTAAGTCAGCAAACAATTCTGGTGCTAGTGAGGTGGTCTGGGTTAGAGGAGGGGTGATGGAATTTTCATTCTCTTTGGCAGGTATTTTATTTATTTTGTATCTTCCTTCAGACTACATGTAGGCTTTTGGTTAAAACCATGGAGCAGATACCATAATCAAGTTCCAACTTTGCCATTGATCTAGCTGAGTGGCTATGGGCAAATTAACCTCCCTGTTTCTCCGTTTCCTCAGTTATAAAACTTGGGATAATTGTATTTATATTCTCAAAGTGTTGAGAAGATTTGGAAACATGATGCTCATTAAGTGCTTTCCACAGTGCCAGCAGCTGATATATATCAAGAAATGAAAGCTATGATGATTACTTTGATGTTTTCGTATACACATAGAATTAAAGCCTTAAAGCACAATTTCAGAAGGAGGCATGTTCTCTACTCACCCACAAGGTCATGAGGTTCATGGGCTCCCTACCAGGCCCTTTCTAAAGTACTTTACTTTGTTGGGTTACAGCTGCTGGGTTTTTTTGTGAGACATGGGGTTTCATGTCCTATTAGAGGAGGCCTAGTAATAACCCCATTTCTGTCTAAAGTTTCAAACCCTGTCACTGGCTCATTTGTTCTAAACACTATTTGAAACTGTTATGTATACTTTATGGTAGAGAATGCGAGTGTAAGAAATGAGGAGCCTTTCCATTTTCTAAGTATGGAAAGCCAAACTTGAGGAAGAAGTAAGAAGGAGAAATAGAAGTACTTCTTACTATATGATGTTCATTGTAAGATCTAGAAATGTTTGTGTTCTGGGCAGGCACTTTATGGAAAGAACACTGAACTCCGGAGTCATAAGGACAGGCTTCAATTGTGTCAGCATGACTTGTGAGTCCTGGCAACTTGGATAAGTTGTATATCTTTCTCAGTGTTTGTTTCATCAATCATAAAATGGCAACATCATGGAGTTTGGGGGGAAATTGAATGAAAAACAGATATAGAAGCATGTCTCCCAAAAAGAGCTCAGTAAATCAAATTTGATTTTAAAAGAATTTTGAAAGTGACCATTTAACATGTGCTTTGAATGTCTGTGTGCTGTGCTTAGTTATTCAGTTGTATCTGACTCTTTTCAACCAGGGACTGTAGCCCACCAGGCTCCTCTGTCCATGGGGATTCTCCAGGCAAGAATATGAAGTGGGTTTCCATGCCCTCCTCCAGGGGATCTTCCCAATCCAGGGATTGAATGGCGTAGCAGTTAATCATGTCTTTCATGTGTGAGCATATATGTGCATGTGTTTCTGTGTTTATCATGAGAATGATGTTTAGCCACATTTACAGACTGCCTACTGTGTTGAGTGACCAAACTGTCCCAGTCTGTCCAGGACTAAGGGAGTTCCCAAGAAACTGGAACAAGTTGGTCATCGTTCTACTATGTGCAAATTGCTTTACAGGCATTATCTCATTAAACTCTCAAACCCACCTATGAGGTAGGTTGTCACATTATTGGCATTTTACGTTGTAAAGGACACTTGGAGAGATCAAGCAGTTTACTCAAGCCACATAGCTAATTAATGGGAGGGGCAGAATCTGAACCCAGACCTGTATGACTCTTGGACCCGAGAATTTAACCACCATTCTGTGTGCAATGGGCTTCCCTTGTGACTCAGCTGGTAAAGAATCTGCCTGCAATGTGGGAGACTTGGGTTTGATCCCTTGCTTGGGAAGATCCCCTGGAGAAGGGAACAGCTACCACTCCAGTTTTCTGACCTGGAGAATTCCATAAACTGTATAATCCATGGGGTTGCAAAGAGTCGGACACAATTGAGCAACTTTCAGTTTTCTGTGTGCTTTTAGACTCCTCCAAAAGCCCAGCCTCTAATTGCCTGTCACCACCTGGATCATTGCTAAACACCTTCCCACCTTCCCTTCTGTCACCAAAACTTCCTGCTGCCCAGATGGCCTCCAGCAAAGGGAGAGACCTGGACACCGAGCTGAGTCAAGCCCAGTCTTGTATCGGGCCACAGCAGAGGCCCCTCCTTCCCTAGCAACAGACGCTGAAGCCTGGTGACTGGCTCCAGGACCTGGGTACAAGTTCCTCCAGTGTTAAAATAACCCGAGAGGAGGAGGAGAGAAGAATTCGGGCCCCAGAGGGATAGTCTGGTGAGTCGCTGCCTCCCCCTTCTCTGTGTTAGCGTGGGACTCTGCTTCAGATTTTCCTCTGCTGTGAACTAGGTGTGTTCCTGGAAAAGTTCAAGAGAAGGGCCACTCAGTGGAAGGGAAGTGTGGCCTTTGCAGGAAGCCACAGCACAGAGCTGGCAGAACCCCAAGGCTGCTGTTTCATTCTCCAGCTTTCCCCTCTCTCCTCTTCGACCAAGAAACTGCTCAGTGGGCTGAAGTCTATGACCTCAGAGAGGCAGCCCCGTGAACAGAGCTTTCAGAACATCTGCAAAGTTCCATCATCTGTGACATCCCCATTATGCTATAAGGAAGTGTGAATCTCAGAGCCACTGATAGAAGAGGAAGAAGCTGAGAGAGCTCGTTGTTCCTTTTTTTAATAGGTCCAGTTAGAATGGACAACATGAGTGACACGGATTGCTCATCTCAGAAGGTAGGGGTGAATTTTAAAGTGTGTTTCTTTTTTCATTCAGTTCAGTCACTCAGTTGTATCCAACTCTTTGCAACCCCATGCACGGCAGCACACCAGGCTTCCCTGTCCATCACTAACTCCTGGAGTTTGCTCATACTCATGTCCATCGAATCGGTGATGCCATCTAACCACCTCATCCTCTGTTGTCCCCTTCTTCTCCCGCCGTCAATCTTTCCCAGCATCAGGGTCTTTTCAAATGAGTCAGTTCTTCAGGTGGTCAAAGTATTGGAGTTTCAGCCTCAACATCAGTCTTTCCAATGAATATTCAGGACTGATTTCCTTGAGGATGGACTGGATGGACTGGTTGGATCTCCTTGCAATCCAGGGGACTCTCAAGAGTCTTCTGCAACACCACAGTTTAAAAGCATCAATTCTTCAGCGCTCAGCTTTCTTTATACCTGTAATATTTTCAGCATGTAGGGAATTTGAAAGTGGGTAGGAAGGAGGCATTTCAATCACAAACCAATAGCCGTGTTAGATCTCCTTGACCAAGCATGTGCATGCCTGCATGCTCCATCCCTTCACTCAAGTCTGACTCTTTTCAACCCCATGGACTCTCCCCACCAGGCTCCTCTGTCCATGGGATTCTCTAAGCGAATATACTGGAATGGGTTGCCATGCCCTCCTCCGGGGATATTCCCAATGCAGGGATCGGACCCTTGTCTCCTGCATCTCCTGCATTGCAGGCAGATTCTTTACCCACTGAGCTGCCTGGGAAGCCCCTGACCAAGCATGTATATTAATTACATTTTGTTGTGTCCTTGAATTATGCTTTGTGATGCATTAGACTTTTGGACATCTTTAGGTTTTGTTGAGAAAATTTCAGGAATAGACACCTTTCTTTCCCTTCCTTTCCAAGGCCATTAGATCATATATTTCATTCGACAGCTCCCAACACTGGATGTAAGTAAGAATATACTGGGAGTCTCTTGAAAATATGAAGACTTGGCCTCACTTCCAAAGATTCTGATTCAGAATATCTGAAATAGAGTCCTGCAATCTGTATTTTTAGCTAAGATCCTAGTGATTCTGCTGTTCCAGGTCCTCAAGTGAGCATTTGGAAACTGTTTCCATGAAAGACTTGCAAACATCATGTACAGTTAGAAATAAGGCACCTGAAAGGAACAGTTCTACCCAATCTATGTGGCAGAATCTTTGTGGAAAAGCTAAGATCCATTAAGTTGCCATATATTGAGGTGTCCAGAGGAGCATTTTAAATCAAAATTTTGTAAAATTAAAGTGGATTTGTTGAGGGAAAAAAAAGTAAATGTGTTGACAATTACTGAGCCTACCCCCAAAGTGAAAACATGCTGCTATTTACCAGAGAGAACACTTAAGCATTAATCTTTAACAAACTGTTCTGGGTATCCAAGTAGGTCTTACAAATCTCCATCTCTTTCACCTTGAAGGGGCCACAGAGAGTTCTTAACCAAGTATGTTTAAGAAAACTCTTTTTGTTCTGTGAATTGACTTCTAGATCTGCTGGTCTTGTATGCCTGTTCCATGAACTGAGCTGTTTTCTACTATCATGGTTTTTACAGTTCTATATGTATAAGTCTTAGTCTGTGACTGTGAACCAGCTCAAAGTTTAATTTGTTTTTCAGAGGTTCTGCTTCTCTCCATTATGTTTTGCAAAATGCTCAAGGTTAGTTTGTTTTCTTGGAAAATGTTTTGCTTCCACTGCAGTATTCTTGTCTGGAGGATCCCATGGATAGAGAAGCCTCGTGGGCTACAGTCCATGGGGTCGAAAAGAGTCAGACATGACTGAAAGCGACTTAGCACTGGCACTTCCTTTATTATCCCAAGAATGGCTTTTCTCCTTGTATGAAGGCTCAGCTGCCTCTGTGTCTATCTCTTGGCTGACCAGCTCTCCATATAGAGGGACATAAATATGTCCGACTCAAATCCAAAAAGGATTCTAGGGGCTTAAGTAACTGAGAAGTCCAAGCTGCGTCCTGGGGTCCAGATGATGTCACTGAGAGTCTTTCTCATTCTGGTGCTCTGCTTTTTGATGGTTTTAGTCTAAGGAAGGCTTTTTTTTTCCCCACATAAAGCAAAGATGGCTGTTTAGACTGCCTCTTTCCCAGTGGCTCCAGCAAAAGTATCAGGAACAACTATGATCAGCCCACCTTGGGTCACATGTCTGTCCCTGAACCAATCAGAGTGTCTGGAGGAGAGTATTCTGATTGGCCAGACCTGTATCACATGCTCTGGCCAGGACACAGGTGCTTGGACACTGTACAACGTGGACTGAAATTGAAATAGATCCCGTTATGTCCACTAGGGCTATATTCTGCCTGCTTTGCTAGTAAGAGTAACTTTCCAATACGTCTGAGGGCTGAAATCAGGTTTATCCTAACTATAAACAGAAGCATGAATGCCAAGACACCTCCTGAATAATATTAATATTCTCCTCAACTGCAAAAGGTCAGGGTTTTTTGGTTTAACTACTCGTTCCCTCTCTTGTAACTTAAGATGTCCAAAATCTGTTTCTGTTTATTGTTTTTTAATGAAGGCTTTTATTTGAAACAGATTTAAAAGCTAGGCCAAGGGAAATATTACCACTGACCATAAAACCCTCTTGCTTGCCAAGACAAAATGCAGGCAGCCCTAACTTATCAATCAGTATATGTTGTACATCTGAACTCCTGAAGGAAATCATGAACGACTTCATTTCCCGGAAAATACTATTGCTGAAATCTACCTTGGATAACCAGATTCCGTTCAAGTTGATGCTGAATTTTTTCATTTTGTTCACCTCTTAAGTGCAGATCTTGATACTAACTTCAGTAGTGAAAGAGCAGGCTCTTGGATGTGGTTGGTTGATTCTTAGATCCTTGAAACTGAGGTCAAGAGCCGAGAGACAGACACAGCCGAGAGACAGACACAGTGATTTAAATCGACAAAGCAAGTTCTCTAAGCAGAAAACAATAGGGTCATCTTGTTTAAGGTGGAGCCTAAGCAGCATGATTCTGTTAGTGGGTCTGATGCACCACAATTTTTGAAACCACTGAATTAGGCCATTAGATCAGTGAACCTATTATATTTTTTTAAATTTCCAGGCTCAGTATGCATTTTTTTTAAGAGTTTGCAAGTTTTCTTTTAATTTTAAAATCAACACATTCTCAAAACAATTGCCATTTCCAATGTGTTGGGATGCAAACTAGTGTGTATTTAAAAGCACCTCTTCATGGCTAGTATGTCTTACCTTACCTTATGGTCTCATCACTCCATGGCAAACAGAAGGGGAAAAAGTGAAATCAGTGACAGATTTTTTTTCTTCTTGGGCTCCAAAATCACTGTGGATGATTGCTGCAGCCATGAAATTAGAAGACACTTGCTTCTTGGAAGGAAAGCTATGACAAACCTAGACAGCATATTAAAAAGCAAAGACATCACTTTGCCGACATAGGTCCATATAGGCAAAGCTCTGGTTTTTCTAGTAGTCATGGATGGATGTGAGAACTGGACCATAAAGAAGGCTGAGCACAGAAGAAATGATGTTTTCAAATTGTGGTGCTGGAGAAGACTCTTGAGAGTCCCTTGGACAGCAAGGAGATCAAGCAAGTCAATCCTAAAGGAAATCAACTCTGAATATTCATTGGAAGGACTGATGCTGAAGCTGAAGCACCAATACTTTGGCCACCTGCTGTGAAGAGCAGACTCATTGGAAAAGTCCCTGATGCTAGGAAAGATTGAAGGCAAAAGGAGAAGAGGATGGCAGAGGATAAGATGGTCAGATTCACATGAGCTTGGGTGAACTCCAGGGGATGGTGGGGGACAGGGAGACTTGGTGGCTGCAGTCCATGGGGTTGCAAAGAGTCAGACATGACTTAGTGACTGAACAACAGTAAGAATAACAAAATATCCTACCTATTCCCTATGAACCTTAGTTTCAGCTAGAACTGGATATAAAAAATCTCATACATACCTGGCACATAATGTTTTGAATAATGGCAAATGTTATTGTTAAGGTGATTATTTTATGAGGTTGAGTCATCAGTGAGAAATTGGTTGGGGCATGGGGATGACTAACGTCTGACTCATTCACCCCCTACATGTCTGCCTTCTGCCAGTTACCCTGCATGGCTTAATTTGCTGACCCAAATAAATCAGATCTATCTAATAATGTCTCGTCTTACACAAGAGTTCCGTCCACAGTCATTGCCTGAGGTGAAAAACCACAGAGCCAAAATTGCACTGGCGGATCTCTTTAAACTACCTTTAAAGTACTGTATAGCAGCATCTCTCAGTAAATCCAGCCCAGAGGGTTCCCTCCACAGCCCCAGATGAAGTAGTTGTCTTGCTTCTAGGGTTTGGGTATAGGAAAGAAACTCAGGGCACCTCTCAACATGAAAGCCAGCTCTGAGGTGAAGAAGCACTGGGAACTGAGTGTGGCCATGGGGGCCACAGGTTCACCTCTGTCTGAGGCTCCCTCCCAAGAACACACTCCCTGAATGGAATGGTGGACTCAAACACCCACACTCTTTAAATATATTCTTTTCTTTCCACAGGAAGCACAGAGTTATTTATACCACTACATAAGCGAGTTTCTGTTTGGAATTTTGCCCGTGTGAAATGCAAGAGTCAATTTTTTTTTAAGTCAACCCCTTTAATTACAACCCAGGGTAGGGAAGCTGGGAGTGCCCTCAGATTTGGGTTCTTCCCAGGGGAAAAATACATGAATTTGCTCATAGAAGGGTAGCCATGAGGAGATGCTAGAGAAGAGACTTTAGCTCTTAAGAATTGAAACCAATGGATAGTGGTGAGAAGGGTGTTTTATGGCAGACCTTTGTGCCTAAGTCCTTTTCTGAGGAACTTTTGACTCATTATGCACTGCAGAGGCTTGGAAATCTTTCCCAATTCCTGAAGAGTGGCTTTGTATTTGTTTCCCACAGATCCCCAAAAGTGACTCCATATATCACATGAGCCACTCCCAGATGCGGCCAGAGCTGCCCCCTCTGCCTGCTTCTGCTAATGAAGAACCATCTGAACTCTATCGGGTATGTTCACCTGGGCGCTGCTCTTCTGCTGCTAACGGTTGGGGGTCAAATGGACTTGACAGGTAGGATTAGAGGCCTCAGTCATTTCTGCCACTGGAAGAGGCTATAGCACAGTGGGAAAAAGAGCTATGTAGTGGCACAAATCTAGCCTTCTCACTTACCTGCTGCATTATTTAAACACTCTGAACTTCTGCATATTCAACTATAAAATGAGAACAATTATTTCTACCTGATAGCCATGTACATATAAAGACAATAGATGTAAATTACCTGATTACAAATTTACTGCATGTTGAAAATCAGCTGTTATCCTTTCCATCAGAAAGCATGCTCTTTGGTGGTCAGAGAGGTAAAATTGGTGTCCATTCCGAAAGTTTTTGAACTCAGCTTGCAGAATATTAGGCATGTGGGATGCCATGAGTCTCAGTGTGAGTGGAGCCTGGCCGAGAGGAGCCCAGGCTCCCTGCATGATGTCCCTCACGTGACTCTCTCTGCATTTCTCCCCCTGTAGACAGTCATGTCGCACAGCTTTTATCCGCCCTTGATGCAGCGCACGTCATGGACCCTGGCTGCACCCTTCAAAGAGCAGCAGCACCACTGTGGACCCAGTGATTCCATCGCCAACAACTACTCCTTGACAGCTCGGGACCTGAAGCTGAAGGACCTGCTGAAAGTCTACCAGCCCGTCACCATCAGTGTCCCTAGGGAAAAGGTCGTTCAAGGACTGCCATCAGGTATTTCCCGCAGTGTCATACCTACTTAGAATGGGGCTTTGGGAGATTTCTAATGCCGGGTTTAGTCCTGGCTCCACCTTTACTATAGATAACTTTGGGCAACCTCATGAAGCCTCAGTTTCCTCATCTGTGAAATGGGAATGATTGTGATGGCTAGCATGATGTTTAACATACACCAAGCTTCTTGTTGACTGCTCAGTTCAGTTCAGTTCAGTCGCTCAGTCATGTCTGACTCTTTGCGACCCCATGGACTGCAGCACGCCAGGCCTCCCTGTCCATCACCAACTCCCAGAGCTTGCTCAGACTCATGTCCATTGAGTTGATGATGCTGTCTAACCTCCAACCATCTCATCCTCTGTCGTCCCCTTCTTCTCCTGCCTTCATTCTTTCCCAGTATCAGGGGCTTTTCAAATGAGTCAGCTCTTTGCATCAGGTGGCCAAAGTATTGGAGTTTCTGCTTCAGCATCAGTCCTTCCAATGAATATTAAGGACTGATCTCCTTTAGGATTGACTGGCTTGATCTCCTTGCAGTCCAAAGGAGTCTCAAGAGTCTTCTCCAACACCACAGTTCAAAAGCATCAATTCTTTCGCACTCAGCTTTCTTTATAGTCCAACTCTCACAACCATAAATGACTACTGGGAAAGCCATAGCTTTGACTAGACAGACCTTTGTTGGCCAAGTAATGTCTCTGCTTTTTAATAATGCTGTCTAGGTTGGTTATAGCTTTCCTTTCAAGGAGCCAAGTGTCTTTTAATTTCATGGCTGCAGTCACCATCTGCAGTGATTTTTGAACCCAACAAAATAAAATCTGTTGCTATTTCCATTGTTTCCCCATCTATTTGTCATGAAGTGATGGGACTGGATGCCATGATGTTAGTTTTCTTAATGTTGAGTTTTAAGCCAACTTTTTTATTATTCTCCTCTTTCACTTTTATCAAGAGGCCCTTTAGTTCTTCTTCACTCTCTGCCATAAGGGTGGTGTCATCTGAGTATCTGAGGTTATTCTTACTTCTCCCAGCAATCTTGATTCCAGCTTGTGCTTCATCAAGCCCAGCATTTTGCATGATGTACTCTGCATATAAGTTAAATAAGCAGGGTGACAATATACAGCCTTGACGTACTCCTTTCCCGAATTGGAACCAGTCTGTTTTTCCATGTCCAGTTCTAACTGTTGCTTCTTGACCTACATACAGGTTTCTCAGGAGGCAGGTCAGGTGGTCTGGTATTCCCATCTCTTTAAGAATTTTCCACAGTTTGTTGTGATCCACACAGTCAAAGACTTTGGCGTAGTCAATAAAGCAGAAGTAGATGTTTTTCTGGAACCCTCTTGCTTTTTCGATGATCCAGTGGATGTTGGCAATTTGATCTCTGGTTCCTCTGACTTTTCTAAATCCAGCTTGTTGATTGCTGCATAACAAATTACTCCCAAACTCAATAGTTTAAAATAAGCTCCATTTGTTATCTTACAGTTTCTGTCAAGAATCTGGGCATGGCTTAACTGGCTTAGAGTCTCTTACAAGTGTACAATCAACGTATCCAAGGGTACAGTCATCTAAAGGCAACCAAGGAAGGATCCTCTTCCAAGTTTACTCACCTCCCCCACTTCCTGTTGGCCATAGACATCGGTTTCTTACCGAATGGGCCTATCCACCAGGGAACTCACAACATGACTTCTAGTTTCCCTTGGAGGAAATGTGGTAGAAGAGAACCAGTAAGATAGAAACCACCATCTTTTGGGAGCTTAATTTTGAATGTGACATCCTATGGTTTTTGCCATTTTCTCTGTGTTAGAATCAAGTTGCTAAGTCCCACACTCAAGAGGACTATACAAGAGCACGATTATTACAGAAAGTGGGGATCCTTGATTGCCATCTTGGTGGCCAAAATTACCATAGTACTTTTTATGTATTAATTTGTTTAGTTCCACTGGGTACACATATGTCTGCTTAAAGATATCCATTAGTAGTTTTTGTTAGAGATATGTTGGAGATTTGCAATCTGCCTGCTGTCTCAAACTCATTTTCATGTTTTTCTTTATTCTTTCTGTGCTGTGTCTGGGTGAATTCCTCAAATTTATCTTCCAACTCACTAATTTTCTCTTCAACTCTGTTCAGTCTTGAGTTTATCCTGTATAATAAATGTTTTTTTTTTAAATTTTATCTTTATTTTTTTTGTTTTTTTAATTTTAATAACACTGTCTTTCATTTTCAGATTTCTTAATTGGTTCTACTTATGAGTGCCACCACCCTTGCCAGTTTCTTATTCTATTCTCATGGACATAACATTTTCAGTATTACCTGGAGGATCTTAAACATTTATTTTGGAGCAATATTAGTGTTGCTATATTATTTCCATTTTGTAAATATTTCCCTCAGTTGTTGAGTTTATTTGCTATCTTTCTTATATTGGTTTTTCTCATGTGTTATGGGATTTTAGTTTGCAGGCTTATGTTGAGAGCTTTTCCCCTTCTTGCTACATGAATTTCCCATTTGTTGTTTAATTCACACACAATAAAATGCACAGATCTTAGTGTTCAGTTCAGTGAGTTTTGTCATTTGCTTATACATATTTGTATATAGCCACCACCCAAATAAGATATAGGGCATTTCCATTACTAGAGGAAGTTCTCCTGTGCACCTTTCCCATCAGGTCCTTCCTCTCCCCAGTACCATCCTGCCCCCTTTCTGATTTCTGTCACCATAAGTTAGTTTTGGTTGTTCATACTTATAGATGTACTCAGTGCATTCTTTTGACATACCTTTTAAAATCTTGCCTTTCTTCCTTATGCCTTCACCTGGCATCTTAGGACCCCAAATTAGTACCAGATTTTATTATTGATGGCTTAGAACTTCCATCCTAAGGTACTGTTTTAGGGATGTTGTAGATCTGGTCCCTGAGGTTATGTTAGGCTTGCCTTAGTTATTACCAACTTTTCTTTGCTATCTGTGGTCACTGTGTGAATTGAGGATACAGGTGCTTTATCTGCATGACAGTGTTGCTGGCTTTTCAGCCTGTCTTCATGGGTAGGGCAGCCATGGCTTTATACTGTGAACCTAGCTTCAATTCCCACAGTCATGGTGTGTTTTGGATTTCATTAATCCCCCAGGTGTCAATCACCTAATTTTTTCTGCCTGCTTTGGTGCCAGAAGCCAAGTTTAAGATTTTTACTTCACACTGTGTTTGAGTTCACACAGAAGAGCATCTTTTTGAACAATGCACCGTCTTTTTAATTTTAAAGAATTTTTTCTGTTACTGTTAAATTTGTTGTTGTTGTTGTTCAGTTGCTAAGTCATGTCCTTCTCTTTGCGACCCTGAACTGTAGCATACCAGGCTTCCCTGCCCTTCACTGTCCCCTAGAGTTTACTCAGAATCATGTCTGTTGAGTCAGTGATGCCATTCAACCTCTGCTGCCCCTTCCCCTCCTGCCTTCAACCTTTCCAAGCATCAGGGTATTTTCCAAGGAGTCAACTCTTCACATAGGGTGGCCAGAGTATTGGAGCTTAGCTTCAGCATCAGTCCTTCTGGTTTGTATTCAGGGTTGATTTCCTTTAGGATTGATATTTGGAGTAGATTGAGGAAATCGAAGTATGAACTCAGAATACATCTTGGTTAAGAGTCTTCAATCCTCTGGTTCTATCAAAATATCAATTTCCTATTAGTATGTATTCAACGTGTCTAAAATGACACGTTAATTTCTTACACTAGACTCTTAAGCAAGTATCCAGTTAAGGTTTAGTAGTAGAATGATATATATATATATATATATACACACACACACATTTTGTATGTATATACATTTTTTTTATTTTAAAATATTTATTTATCTATTTTTGGCTGTGTCAGGCCTCGGTTGTAGAATCAGGGATCTTCTGTTGTTGTGTGCAGGCTCTTTGTTGCTGGGTGTGGGCTTCTCTCTAGTTGTGACATGTAGGCCCTAGAGTGTGCAGGATCAGTAGTTATAGCACATGGGCTAAGTTGCCCCACAACATGTGGGATCTTAGTTCCCCAAGCAAGGATCGAACCCGAATTCCTTACACTGGAAGTCGGATTCTCAACCACTAGGCCACCAGGGAAGTCCTCTTAGAAGAGTTTTGTATTTTATTTATTAAATTTATTTATCACAAATGATATTTATTGCAATGCCTTCTATTTGTGGCAAATTACATCATTTTTTTTATTTGCAATAATTATATTTATTGAAAATGATACTGGTTTTTCTGTTTGTGACACTCATATAATATTTCCTTTAAAATAAATAGCTTAAGTTTAAAAGTCTGAATCTATTTAAAGAAAAATATTTAGCAATAATACACCTCATGTTTAGAAAATAGAGCACATAGGATTGGGGGGGTGAATTGAGGATATATTAATATTTGTCCAGTGTATGAGAAAACAGAAGGCATGCTCATCCCCATTTCACAGTTGAGGAAGCTGAGGCTTGGAGTGATGGTCACTTCTTCAGGGTCACACAGGCAATTAGTGGTACAAGTGGGACCAGGGTCTGCATCACCTGCTTCCTCCCACCACACCAAGTCCACCCTTCTTAGTGTTCTCCTGGACTGCCGTAAGACTTGCATCCCCGTGGGCAGAAGGTGGCCCAAGGTCACTGCCCATCACTGATATCTTTCGTCTCCACTGTTCTAGCAAATAAAAGCTCATCAGAGCCTAACAAGAAGAAAATGAAGTTCTCCCCCAAAGACAAAGAGGATCTCGCTGGGTAAGGTTTTTCTATGGGCACAGGGGATTGCAGGACACTAGAATGAACTGAAGAAGGTTACGGTCTCATGAAAGCCACACTCTGCTTCTTGACTTTAAAGCATTCCTGGATACCTAGTTACTTATGTTTTTTCCCACCAGTACTCTTAATCCAATTTATTAAGGCCTGAAATAAAAATAAATTAGCTAACTAAGCAAAACCATTGCTTACAAACTTATGAAGAATGAAGTGTTCATGGAACCAGGCACTAAGCTGTGTCTACTTTTCAGGATGAAGTCAGCCTCAACTACCTTACCTATGAAGAAGGAGGTTGTGAAATCTTTGACTTTCCCAGGAAGCAGACCAATGAGTCCAGAAGAACAGATTGATGTGATGTTACAGCAGGAGATGAAAATAGAAAGTAAAGAAACCAAACCATCCGAATCAGACTTGGAGGTACATTCTTATTGCCTCCTTTCTCTCAATTTGCTAAGTATTATTCTTGACATCTCAGTGATTCTAAACTGGAGAAAAGCAGTAGTCACCTGAGGAATGTTTTAAAAATATTGAAGTCCAAAGACAGGCAGGTTGATTTCCCTTCTTCTTTCTCAACATTGCTATGGCTGTTCAAGGTGAAGTAAGTCAGAAAGAGAAACACCAATACAGTATATTAACACATATATATGGAATTTAGATAGATGATAATGACGACCCTGTATGCAAAACAGCAAAAAAGACACAGATGTAGAAAACAGACTTTTGGACTATGTGGGAGAAGGCAAAGGTGGGACGATATGAGAGAATAGCACTGAAGCATGTATATTACCATATGTAAAATAGATGACCAGTGCAAGTTCGATGCATGAAGCAGGGCACTCGTGAAGCTGATGCTCTGGGACAACCCAGAGGGATGGGGTGGGGAGGGCTTTGGGAGGGGGTTTCAGGATGGGGGGACACAGGTACACCTGTGGCTGATTCATGTCAATGTATGGCAAAAACTGCCACAATATTGTAAAGTAATTAGACTCCAATGAAATAAATTATTTTAAAAATAAATAAATAAAGGTACTGAAGTCCAGACCCCATGCAGACTGCTGAATAAAGGTGTGCATGCGTGAGTCTTCTGCTTTAGCAAATCTTAGAAACCGGTGCCTTCAGGTCCTCTTAGAACATAGGTTGCACAATGGCTGCATAAAACATAGGCTGGGGTTGCCAGATTTTGAAAAACAAAACAAAAAATGTGGCACTCTGTTTGAATTTCAGATAAATGATGAATAATTTTTAGTATATTCCAGTGCATCTCATATTTTATCCAGCAGCCCAACCATAAGTTAAATATGGCCTACAGATGTGCTTGGAAAAATGAAAGAAATTTCACATAAGCTGGATTTCTAACCTCTCTTGAAAAAATTAATACATTTGAAACTGAACAATAGCTACCTCCTTTAGATGAGAAATACATTCTCTGGTTTGTCAGTCTCCACAATTCCTTATTATTTTATTATGTCCAGCCAACTTTCAGTTATTAACATTACCTGCTTGGTCCTAGATAGACTTTTGAGCCTCTAACCCCTAACTTGAAAGACCTGCAAAGCTTTAGAGCAAAGAGCTTTTTGAATTTAGAGTGTATAGTAAAATGATTAACAATAAAAACTAATAGTGACTGAGAATGTGCTATTAGCAAAATTCCATACTAAACCCTCTAGATGCTTGACCCCATTCAGGACCTGGGGATTATGATTATTCCTGTTGTCAAGTTGTGGAAATTGGGGTGGGGACTGCTTAATCAACTTGCCCCAAGTTATACAGTCAGTAAGAGGCAAAACTAGAATTTAGACCAGTCTGGCTGATACTAACATTCTGAACAACAACATTTCTCAAACTTGCCTGAAAATAAGAATCGCCTGGGGTTCTTGTTGATGTATCCTAAATGCCCTAGGAGGGAGGGGCCTGTGAATCTGCATTTTAAAAGGAGCCTCTCTCCTCACCCCAGGCAGTTCTTATAATGAGAGAACTTTGGAAATTTGTCCTTTATCAAGTTTGGAGAGATCCAAGTTCAGCCTTTTCTGACCACAAGACAATTGGCAAAGAAGGTCAAAGCTGATTTCAAACCCTTTCCTATACTTTTTGCCTCTCTTTTATCTGCAATAATTCGTTTCTAGAGCCATTCAGCCATCTAGCAGCTTAGAGGCAAGCCGTAAATTAACCAAACTTCCTAATGTCACCAGGTCACATTGGGCCTGTTCAGTTCATGTGTTTGTGTTGTTTTTCTAAACTCAAGACCATGGTTGAATTAGAGTAATTATCATAAGTCTCACTTAGACTTGGGGGTTTTCCCATAAGCCATAGGATCAAGTACTTTCTTCATATAGGGTCGTTGTTATAAAGGAGGGTGAATTGAGTCCATTTGAGGAGCTTGTCATTCCTCTTCTTAAAACTCACCAGATATGTTATCACCAACGCTGGGGCTTAGTCCTCTTCCCACTGCTCCTATTTGCATGGCATTTGACAAATCCTTCCTTAGACAGCACTGAGATCTCTCTGGCTTTGGTTGACTCCTCCAGAGCCATGAGGAATACTCACCAACAATTTATTACAATGAGTGTGATGTCATGGACCAAGAAGTGAGGGAAGGAAGGAGATCAGTGCTGTATGAACAGGGTACTTTAGCAGCTGATGGGTGTGGGCAAGTGGGCACAGTTAGTTAACTGATTATGATCATTTTGTTGCTGGTGGTTTGTTTATGGAAGAGATACTACTACTATTTGACCAGTGGAATCCGAAAAGACATGATTGCCCCTGAGGAGGACAAAGTGATGGTTCGGATTTCAAAGCTGATTTCAAACACACTGCTGACAAGTCCCTTCCTGGAACCCCTGATGGCTGCCCTTGTGGAGGAGAAGGAAAATGACTATTACAGCAGCCTCATGAAAAGCATTGGTAAGGCTGTGCATAAATGGGGCAGGGTTCCTATGTGGAGGGTACCTTCTTTCCTTTCACTGTCAGTTCTTCTCTCTGTTTTCTCAGAAAAAAGCCAAAAACATTGTGTAACTTTTCATTCAGTTGCTCCCCGGCACTGCCACCATCACTCATGTCCATACCAGTGCTTATCACATTTCACTGTGCATCTGTGTAACCTAAGGATCTTATTAAAGGGCAGATTCTGATTCAGTAGAGTTTGGGAGGGGCCCACGATCCTGCACCTCCAACCAACTCCCAGGTGATGCAGGTGCTTCTCACCCTGGGCAACAGCGTAAGTAGCAGGCACCCATAGACAGTTAAAATGTAGCTCAAGACCTCTTCCTTCAAGTATTTGATCTCTGCAACCCTCAGTGATCCCTCCATTTTGTGCATTCATACCACTTCTCCCTTCTCCTTTCAACTCAAACCATTTTGGAACTTCTCCTGTGCCATTGTTTCTCTATGGCCTTTAACACTGGCCTTGCCTTTCTCATGGGTCTCAGCTCCCTTATTAGACATTTACTGATATATCATCAGTCCTCACTCCCTTTCATGTTTAGCTGCATGTCTTGTGCACACAGTAGGGCATTGGGAAATGTTTGATGATAGTGAGTATTGTGAAAAGTGAAAGTGAAAGTCTCTCAGTTGTGCCCTACTCCTTGCAACCCCATGGTCTATACAGTCCATGAAATTCTCCCGGCCAGAACACTGGAGTGGGTAGCCTTTCCCTTCTCCAGGGGATCTTCCCAACCCAGAGATCAAACCCAGATCTCGTGCATTGCAGGTGGATTCTTTACCAGCTGAGCTCTGAGCCACCAGGGAAGCCCTTAATAATGTGAGAATAATGTGAGAAACACATCAAAGGGGAGAGGTGATCATATTAGCTCCCCACCTTCCCATTTATCTGGAAAACAGCTATACTTACTAAATTAATGGGTTTTTTAAAATTTTCTAATCAATCTTCTAGTGGTACAGTGTAATGGCTCCTTGTCTGCTATAGGCTAAAGCCCTTCCAATTTCAGCCTCAACCTACTTCTCTAGTCTTATCACCTTGAACTCTACTGCTTGTACCTGATATTTCTGCCACAGCATGACCCACAGCTTCTTGAGCATGTTATACAAAAATCATGGAACTGCACTTATCCTGTCAGACAAAATCCTACTCATTTTCTATGACCCAGCTTAAATGTTACTTCCCCTATGAGGCTTTTGCCCGTCCATATCATGTGAAACATTTGGCCTCTAAATTTCCATTCATAGGTATCTGGTGTCATGTATTGTGTTTACTTTTTTATGTAGCTATGTTGGTGTGCTGTGTCGTAATGACATTTCAGTGAATTGATATGCATGATGCTAGATATCCTAATAGGACTAAACTCCAGATTCTAAGTGTTCTAGACTCTGAAGTTATATTCTGCTTCCCCCCAAATGTCTCACATACCAACAGGGTGAAACTTACTCAGTTAGGGGATTACCAATGACCTTGTAAATGAGGGAACATTTCCAAGTGTAAATGGACAGAAGCTTATTTACCTTCTAAGTGCTGAAACTTAAGAGCACAAATTGCTCAAGGCCCCTGGTTAATAACAAGCATTTGCCCTCTTGGTTATAGTTGATTACATCCTCATGGACCCCATGGAGAGGACAAGACTCTTCATTCAGAGCATCCCCCGAGCATTTCCTCAAAGAGTGATCCGGGCCCCCGTGCCCTGGCACAGTGTCTACAAGAATGCCAAGAAGTGGAACGAAGAGCACCTGCACACGGTGAACCCCATGATGCTCAGCCTGAAGCAGCTGTGGTTTTCGGAGTAAGAAGTGCCTCCTGCCCCCCGTTTCCCTTTATTGCTTCCACACGTAAGAGATCATCTTACGTGGGAGTAGCCTTGCCCTTGAAGTAAAATGATGCAAATCCTAGACCAGGTTGCATATGGAGAGCTAAGTGACCCTCCTTTGTGCCTCCACGGCAGCCGTGTCTGTGTGTGGGCCCTGGAACATCCTGGTTAAGAGCACTCGCATGGGGCCAGCTTGCTCGGGTCCACCTCTACCTCTGCCGCTTCATAAGTAACATCCTTACCTCTAAATTTGGGAGAAGACTTCCTACTTCAAGCCCTGGTAGGAGGGATACATAATTTAGAGTACTTAGAACAATGCCTGATACAAGTATCCAGTAGGTGTTAATTAGACCTCCATCATGAGGTCTATAATACTGAATTATAATTGTACCTTTGCTAGCTTGACTCTCTCTAGCCTATGAAATGTATGGGATGGGGGCTTGCATCTTCTTATTTCTGTTCCTTTCTCAATTCTTTATTTAAATTTGTGTAGTTGAAGTACAGTTAATTTACAATGTTATGTTAATTTTTGCTGTATAGCAAAGTGATTGTATACATACATTCTTTTTCATGTTCTTTTCCATTATGGTTTATTACAGGATTTTGAATATAGTTCCCTGTGCTATATAGGAGGACCTCGTTGTTTATCTATTCTGTATATGCTAGTTTGTTGTTTATCTATTGTATATATACTATTCTGTATATACTAGTTAGTTTCCACTAACCCAAACTCCCATTCTGTCCCTCTCCTATGCTCCCTCCCGCTTGGCGATCACAAGTCTGTGGTCTCGGTCTGTGAGTCTGTTTCATAGATTAGTTCATTTGTCTCTTATTTTAGAATCCACATACAGGTGGCATTAGGTGGTATTCGTCTTTCTCTTTCTGACTTACATCATTTAGTATGATAGTCTCTAGGTCCATCCATGTTGTTAAGGCATTATTTCATGCTTTTTTCTGGCTGAGTAGTATTTCATTGTATATATGTACCACATCTTCAATATCCATTCATCTCACCACATCTTGGACATTTAGGCTGTTTCCATGTCTCAGCAGTTGTAAATAGGGCTGCTATGAACGAAGGGGTGCTTGCTGCTGCTGCTTAGCTGCTTCAGTTGTGTCTGACTCTGTGTGACCCCATGGACTATAGCCCACTAGATTCCTCTGTCCGTGGGGATTCTCCAGGCATACTGGAGTGGGCTGCCATGCCCTCCTCCAGGGGATCTTCCAGACCCAGGAATCTAACCCAGGTCTTCCATACTGCAGGCAGATTCTTTATTATTTGAGCCACCAGGGCAGTCCTGGTGCATATATCTTTTCAAATTATAGTTTTTGTGTGAGTATATGCCCAGGAGTGGGATTGCTGAATCATATAACAATCTATTTTTAGTTTTTTAAGCTAATTCTTTTATGTAACTCAGGGCCAGTGCAGAGTTGGCATACAGTAGTCTCACTTATATTTATCAGTGACTAAGTTGGCCACAGATATTGTAGAAGTCCAGAGGAGGCAGGAGTCACTTTTTCTCTCTTTCATTTTTCTAAATTAAGATGTTACTCGCATAATTTAAAATTCACCCTCTTGAAGTGTGCAATACAGTAATTTTGAGTATACTCACAAACTTGTACAACTTTCCTGAAAATATTGGGAATGTTTTCATTATCCCCTAAAGAAATTCTGTAGTCATTAGTAGTTACCCCACTTCTCCCTTCCACTCAGCCCCTGGAAGAATATTAATCTGCTTCCTGTCTCCATGGATTTACCTATTCTCAATATTTTACATAAATGGAATCATACAATATGTGGCCTTTCATGTCTGGCTACATTAAGTTAGCAAGATTCATGTTTTCAAGATTCATCCATATTGAAGCATTATCAGTACTTCCTTCATTTTTATGGCTGAATAATATTCCATTTTATTGTTATACCACATTTTATTTATCCATTTATCAATTGCACTGGGAATAATAAAGACTGATTTTTTCTTATGAGCCCCTCAAGAATGAGTGTGAATCCTGGTGGGAGAATGAGGCCACCAGAGTTCACCAAAAGGTCAGGTTAATGAAATGATGTGCTACTACCATGTGGGTTTTTTATTAGAAAAATTGGAGGCAGATATGTGTGTGTAATTGTGATTGGTTAAACTTAATCAGTAGCTCAAATATTTTGTTTGAGGAGGATCTATAGCTTTGTATGTGTTTCATCTTTGGGGAGTCTTATTACTTGGATAACTTATTTGTTTTTCACATTCTTAGTTTTACCTGTATTTTAAAAAATAATTGCAGGTAGAGTCAACCTAGGATAGAGCCCATCAATCATAAGAAGTAAGCACATAAAAAAAAAAAAAAAGAAGAAGTAAGCACATTCCTTTCCTTTAACTGAATTCTAAAGTATTAGAGGTGCTAGTCAGGACACGAGAAAAAAGTAGTTTTGTAATGAGATAGAAGTATGTAACAATAATTTATAGAAAAGTAATAATGTATAGATAGAGTAGGCTCTGAAACTAACCAGTCTAGGTTCTCATTCTTGCTCTGTCCCTGATGAACTGTGTGATTTGGGAAAGTTAATCTCTCTGGACCCCTATTTCTTTATATGCAAAATGGGATTGTTGGGTGAAGTGCTTAGGACAGTGCTTGGCATACAGTAGTTGTTCAATAAGTTCTGCTTTAAGTAGAAGCATGTTTATAGCCTCAAAAAAAAAAAAAATTAACCTAGAAATTAACAAGAAAGTCAGCCACAAGGCTGATAAAATTGCCGGAAGTTCAGTGCCAAGAGAATGTACACATGAATTTAATTTGATCACATAAAGAAAATGATAAATTATTATTAGCTTTTGCTATAAGAAGAGTTCTTATCACTTGCTTTTTTCCTAATCTATTCCTTCTTCTTTATATTTATTTATTTTTAATTGATTGCTTTACAATATTGGTTTGATTTCTGTCATACATCAACATGAATTAACCATAGGTGTACATATGTCCCCTCCTTCTGCAATCTCTCTTCTACCTCCTTCCATTTCCCACCCAGGGAAATGGGTGGTTATTACAGAGCCCCAGTCTGAGTTCCCTGAGTCATATAGCAAATCTCCATTGGCTGTCTATTTACGTATGTTAGTGTATATGCTGGGGCTTCTCTGGTGATCAGACAGTAAAGAATCCACCTGCAGTGCAAGAGACTTGGATTCAATCCCTGGGTCTGGAAGATCCCCTGGAGGAGGGCATGGCAACCTACTCCAGTACAACTGCCCAGAGAATCCCCAGGGACAGAGGAACCTGGCAGGCTGCAGTCCATAGGGTCACACAGAGCCGGACATGACTGAAGTGACTGAGCGGCAGCAGTAGCAGTGTGTATGCTTCCAGGCTACTCTCTCCATTCATCTCACCCTCTCCTTCCTCTTCCCACCCTTGTCCGTAAGTCTGTCCTCCATATCTGCACCTCCATTCAGTTCAGTTCAGCTCAGTCGCTCAGTTGTGTCCAACTCTTTTTCTGTTCTGCAAATAGGTTCATCAGTACCATCTTTCTAGATTTCATATATATATGTTAATAGACAATTTTTTTTTCTTTCTGACTTACTTCACTCTGTATAATAGGCTCTAGGTTCATCTACCTCATTAGAACTGACTCAAAGTGTTCCTTTTCAGGGCTGAGTAGTATTCCATTGTATGTATGTACCACAGCTTCTTTATCCATTCATCTGTTAATGGACATCTAGGTTGCCTCCATGTCCTAGCTATTGTAAATAGAGCTGCAGTGAATAGGGCTTACACTGGGCTCTGTAATAACCCAGAAGGGTAGGAAAGTGCAGGAGGTGGGAGAGGGATTCAAGAGCAAGGGGACATATGTACACCTATGGTTAATTCATGTTGACATATGACTGAAATCAAACCAATATTGTAAAGCAATCAAAAATAAATAAATATAAAGAAGGACTAGATTAGAAAACAAAGCAAGTGATAAAGAATCCTTCTTACAGTAAAAGCTATACATTTAATAATTTGTCATTTTCTTTTTATGATCAAGTTAAATTCATGTGTACATCCTCTTGGAATACATGTGTCTTTTTCAGTTTTGGTCTCTTCAGGGTATATATCTAGAAGTGGTATTTCTGGGTTGTATGGTGGTTATGTTCCTTGTTTTTTAAGGAATCTCCACACTGACTTCCATATTGGCTGTATCAATTGACTGTACAAGAGTGAACCAAAATCATTTAGGTTTTTGTCAGCTGAACCAAAAAATTAGCAATGAGAAAGATTTGTTAAGGAAATGCTATGGAGAAATGTTCTTATGTGACCTGTAATATTTAGCTTTAAACAAGAGGTCACCTAATGACCAGTGAAGGGAAGTATTTAAGGGCCAGAATGAGGGTGGTCTGAACAAAAAATAGATTTTTCTGGCCAATGTGGAAAGTTTGTTACGATTAAACTAAAGATGAGTGACATAATTATCAGATGGTGACCAGGGCCATGCTAATGTTGGATATCAAACATATATGGAGAGTGAGGTTCTTGAATTCTGTCCTCCCCAGCAGTGCTTTGTGACTGGCCAGACAAGATGAAGCCTAAGTTCATCTCCTCCATCAAAAAAAGAATAGAAATGTAGGCTGTAGGATTTTAGGAGTATGAGGGAAAGTGCCTAGTGGGTCATTACAGTGGATGATGAAAATGAGAAGTGAGAACTGGGGCAAGCTAAGAAAGTGAGCAGAGATCTGGTTGGGGAAGTTGTAGGCACTGATGGTTTCAAAGAGTGATTAATAAATGAATGAATATGTGTCAGGCAGAGAAATGCTGGCCCTGTGAGCTATAAAAAAAAGGGGGGGGGGCCTTGGGGAGTGTGGTAAAGGGCAGCACCTCCATTAACCTGAGAGAAATAGGAGAAAATAAGATCATCAGAGAGGGCAGGAAGAGATCCAAGTGTTCATTTAACAAATATTTACTGAGTTCCTACACTGTGTAAGGCAATATCCCAGGAATGCCTTGGGTGTCTTGATGAGCCTACCAGCTGTCAGAGGCAGGTTTGTAGGTTTTTTGGGTCCAGATCAAAGTGGTCCTCCAATTTGTCTTGAGTAGCTCACCAAGGGGTCACATTGAGGACTGTGTAGAACCCACTTGATCATGAAGGTGATGCTTTGCTTGCCCTATCCTCTTGCGTCTTCAACCTGTCTTACTCTGTATTGGAAAGAGCTTTGACATGTCATATCCTAGTTTCCAGTCAGCCAAATGCCAAGTCAGTGTCAAAATCCCACTCCCCATGGGTTACCCAAGGAAGGACCCATAGGAAGGCTCAGTAACAGCTCCTGAGTTTCTCTACTCCTTGCAAGAGTTCTTTTGGACTATCCACTCCCTCCCCTGACTCTCAGATTTTTCAGATATAATTAGTTTTAATCTGTTTAAATCTCCTCTCATTGAAAAATGAAAAATATATTTCCTCTGAATCCGTCATACAAAGTTTTTTATTAAGCATCTTCTTGGCTTAGGGTGTTTTGCCCTCTCTTTTGGCAGATTTAAAGACCTCAGGTTTGTTCGAACAGCAGAATTACTGGCGGGAAGATTACCTCTGCAGACTCATGAATATCAGGATGTCATTCAGAAACACTGCATGGAAACACGCCAAATTCTTCTCAACAAGTCAGTATCTGGCCTCAGAATGGCGCTGTGTCACAGTATCATAAAAGTCAAAAGTTCTCCGACGTGAAAACTGGTCTCCAACCTGGGGGGGGTGGGGGGTTGTGCGCAGATTTTGCTGACTTCTGACACCTCCCTCTGTCCTCATCCCTCCATGTTTCCATCCCTGAGAGCCTCTGTGCCCCCTCATACACACTGCTCTTTGGCCCTCACTCCTAGTGTTTCTTTGCCCTTCTGAAGCCTCCTCATTACCATTGCTTGCTGAGCACTTCCATTCCCTCCCTCTGAATTCCTTTAGGCCTTGCTGGGTTACACACACAGTGTTAGTCGCTCAGTCGTGTTCAACTTTTTGTGACCCCCATGGACTGTAGCCCGCCAGGCTTCTCTGTCCATGGGATTCTCCAGGCAAGAATACTGGAGTGGGTTGCCATTCAATGCATTTGAATGACTTGTATTCAGGTGGCCTAGATAGACACCTGTAAAATCCAGGGATGGGAGTTTTTAGCCACTTAATTCTCTTTTCCTTTGCAAATGTGTACAGGACTGTGTCCAGAGCCAGAGAAATTCCCTTATGTGAAATGATGGTGATAATATCTACTAAGCTGTTTTCATTATCAGAGAAAATGTTTATGCAATAGCTGGCATATAGTAGCTCTTAAGTGTAATTATTACCTCTACAACTATGACTATTACCAGTACTTCCCTGATTGTTAGAGTAATACTTTTCTAGCAGTCAGAAAAAAGACTTGATAAGATGCAAATGCCAGTAGTTCCTGTTGGGATTTAGAAATTGGGGGAATAGGATGAAAGGAAAAATGAGGCATCCATTTCTTCTTTTGGTTTTCTAATTTCTGCTCTCAACTTCTGAGCATCCACCGCCCCACTGGAGTTTCTCCTCCCAAGTTTTCTTCCTTTTCTCCTTTGTCTTTTCCCCTGTAAAGTTTCAGTTAGAAAACAGACATCTGCCAGGGAGAGAAATTGGACAGAACATTGCAGTTCCTTATGCCCTTTTACCCCAATCTCTGAATATAATAAAGTATAAACACCTTCATCTTTCAGCAGGACTGTCCATTTGGGTATTGCTAAATGGGAAAACAGTCTGTCAATCCAAATCTTATTACTTTCTTCCCCAGAAAGGGGTGATGGCAGGTGAAGTGGCCAGGGATATGAGAGTACCAGCTTGCGGAGCTGTTCAGTGGGAAAGGAGCCATCTGCCTTGTGGTGGAGAGTTGGGAGTGGCTGAGAGGACATCTTGGAACTTGGAAGGGATTCTCAGTCAGATGCCCTGCTTTCTTTACAGATGGATCCCCACCTGTGCCCAGCTATTTGTCTCCCGGAAGGAGCAGTGGGTCCATTTTGCTCCCAAGAGTGACTATGACTCCTCTCGTAACATTGAAGAATATTTTGCTTCTGTTGCATCCTTCATGTCCCTCCAGCTCAGGGAGTTGGTCATTAACTCTCTTAAGGACCTCGTTTCCTTCTTCATGATACACAAGGTATGTAGGGGATCAGCAGTAGACTCTTTGGAGTGGAATCAAGACTCAGTATTTAATCATGTAAGGTCCTCAGCTGTAAGCCAGGCCAAAAAGTAAAATTCTTGACTTGAACACATATGTGGTGATTATTAGTTTATAAAAATGATTTATTTAAATACACGCAAGTTTTCCCAAGATAATTACCTACTGCTATATAGTAAAAATCTACAGAACTAGAGAAATTAATTTAAAGAAAGAGTGAATAAAATGGAATGTCTACCTCCTACTGTAGAGGAGTGGTCACTTTTTCATCCTCTCTGTTTAAAAAAAAGGGATTGAAAAGCGTTTGTTACCAATCTTTTGGCTTGCTATTTAGGAAGTGTTGTGCATGTTCATTGCAGATACTGACTTTTATTCTTTGGTTTTGGAATGGGTACCTCTAAAAACAAGAGACTTCATTGAACTAATTAATAACTTCTTTCATGACACTACTTAAATGAAGTCTAGATAAAAACTAAAGCACTAAGATAAAAACTAAAACACTGTGATGGTTTTCAAAGCATCATAGACTCCCTTAAATTTAGAGAACATGGGAAATCAAGGAAGACTTTTTTGTATTTTAAACTATGTGCCATTTTAATTTAAAAAGAGTGATAAAATTTAAAATTGCCTGGTTATCCATGGCTAATTCATTTCAATGTATGACAAAAACTACTGTAATGATGTAAAGTAATTGGCCTCCAACTAATAAAAATAAATGGAAAAAAAAATTTTAAAAAAAAGGAAAGACAAATCATGTACTAGGAAAAACTGAAAAAAAAAATAAATAAAATGTAGATATGATGATGAAAAAAAAAAATTGCCTGGTTAGAAAAGGTTAAATTCTAAGCATTTTGCCAAATAAAGTAAAAATGAACAGTTGACATTTTATTAAAAAAATATAGAACCAGTGCTGTCAACTTTTCCAAAAAGTAAAATTCTTGACTTGAACACATATGTGGTGATTATTAGTTTATAAAAATGATTTATTTAAATACACGCAAGTTTTCCCAAGATAATTACCTACTGCTATATAGTAAAAATCTACAGAACTAGAGAAATTAATTTAAAGAAAGAGTGAATAAAATGGAATGTCTACCTCCTACTGTAGAGGAGTGGTCACTTTTTCATCCTCTCTGTTTAAAAAAAAGGGATTGAAAAGCGTTTGTTACCAATCTTTTGGCTTGCTATTTAGGAAGTGTTGTGCATGTTCATTGCAGATACTGACTTTTATTCTTTGGTTTTGGAATGGGTACCTCTAAAAACAAGAGACTTCATTGAACTAATTAATAAATTCTTTCATGACACTACTTAAATGAAGTCTAGATAAAAACTAAAGCACTAAGATAAAAACTAAAACGCTGTGATGATTTTCAAAGCATCATAGACTCCCTTAAATTTAGATAACATGGGAAATCAAGGAAGACTTTTTTGTATTTTAAACTATGTGCCATTTTAATTTAAAAAGAGTGATAAAATTTAAAATTGCCTGGTTAGAAAAGGTTAAGTTCTAAGCATTTTGCCAAATAAAGTAAAAATGAACAGTTGACATTTTATTAAAAAAATATAGAACCAGTGCTGTCAACTTTAGGCTGCACTGTTAGCATTCTACAGTGGACTAATCTATACATATCAATGTAATCATCTATTTGGCTAAGCAGAAGAGACTCAAACTCAACCAAGTTTCGTTCTAAAATTCCAAACAAAGGGAAAACTAAAATTTGCATATGTCTTAAAGAAAGAAATGTATGGGTATTTGATACATAGTAGACATTCACCTAATGCTTATCAATAATCCTTAGACAAATCTAGAATATCTAGATTCTCAATTGAATCTTTAAAATCAATTATTTGAGCAAATACTTTACAACTGCCTCATGCCAATTTTATTAGGCACTATGCCTTTTATGAAAGGTTATCTTGTGTTATTAGCCTGTGTTAGGAATTGGAAATGTCTCCACATCAGTTCTTTACCAACTGAGCTACAGCCTCCCTCGTAGTTCAGCTGGTAAAGAACCTGCCTGCAATGCAGGAGACCCTGGTTCGATTCCTGGGTCAGGAAGATCCCCTGAAGAAAGGATAGGCTACCCACTCCAGTATTCTGGCCTGGAGAATTCCGTGAACTGTATAGTCCATGGGATCACAAAGAGCTGGACACTACTGAGCGACTTTCACTTCACTAAACTTCCATATCATTATCTCTACTGAAGAAAGGTTGACATTTTGAGTGTCTAAAATATATTATATGCTAATTAGAAACTCCATGTGGGATGTACAGATAAACTCTTATACTTCTGGATTCAGTCAACAAATTTTTATTGAGCCCTTGTGCATGTGTGCTAAGTCACTTCAGTCATGTTCAACTCTTCGTGACCCTGTGGACTGTAGCCCACCAGGCTCCTCTGTCCATGGGATTCTCCAGGCAAGAATACTGGAGTGGGTTGCCATTTCCTCCTCCAGGGGATCTTCCCGACCCAGGGATTAAACCTCTGTTATGTCTCCTGCATTGATAAGTGGGTTCTTTACCCCTTGTGCCATCTGCTCTTATGATGTACTAAATGCTATCTTGGATATTTTGGAGGACATAGATGGTTCAGACACAGATCCTGTGCATGTAAATCTCATGAGAGAAAGATAAAATACCACACGAAAGTGGAAATAAGAAAGTTCAGAGGTAGAAGATTATTTCTTGATAGGGAACGGGGAGGCTTCCCAAAGGAGGAGATTTTGGTTGGAATTTTAACAGATGCAGAGGATTTGGAAATACTGATAAAATAATTTCCAAGCAATGTAAACAAACTTTGAAGAAGGGGGAGAGGGTGAACTCAGGTGGGCCATACTTAGCCCTTATTTTAAATATGAACAGTACATGGTACCTTTCATTTCCTTTTCTGGTGCCCATGTAGTGCTATGAACATGTAAAAGTCACTCCTTTGATTCTAAAAGGTTCCATTTTGTAATAATCACCATATCTTATGTCTCCTGAAGGATGGAAATGATTTTGAGGAGCCCTACCAAGAAATGGAGTTCTTTATACCTCAGCTGATTATGATCAAACTTGAAGTCAACGAGCCAATTATTGCCTTTAATCCATCTTTTGATGACTGCTGGGAATTAATACACAACTCTTTCTTGGAAATTATTAAGAACTCTAAAGGGATTCCCAAGGTATAGAACTCAATTATTTGTTCATATTTGTATTCACATATTGAATAAAACTTATGTTTAAATGGCTGCTTGTGCAAATTAGGGTTTTACTATGGGAGATATAGCCTGAGTACACCCTCTTGACCCCCCGAAAGAGAATTTGGGCCTTAAAGAAATTTCCATGCATCCCATTAACAAAGACACTGAGATCTACTTTGTGAGCAAGCAGAGTTACCTGCATGATGTCAACCTCAAAAGGGCAGATGTGTCCCAAGCCATATCCATCTTGGGTTAATAATTCATGATGGATCAGTTGCTATGTACTTTGCCAAGCATTTTCATAAGACTATGTATCTCATTTAGTTCTTGAAGCTCCATGTGTTTGTTTGTTTATTAGTTTGTTTACCTTCTAGGGGAGAGATTAAACCTTCCCTTCCTGGCCGAGGGAACTTAGAAAAGGAAACCTTTTTCCAAGTTTCCTTTCTAGGGTGACTTTACTAATCAGATTTCAGTTATCAGCAGACTTTTAGAACTGGGCAGGATCACCCACATGAGTGTGACTCTTTTGCATTCCATCTTCTGCCTCCTTCTGGGTGGTTGATGTGGGGAGAGGCCAGTGTCCAGCCCCACATAGGGAAGGGACTTGTGAGATGTTTCTACCTAGCTTACCTCTGCCTCCTACTCTCCCTTCCTCCTCATGCTTTATGTATGATGCTCAGGTACCCTTAAGCACCCTTCTCTTTGCAGTCCTGTACTTAGAGGGTTCTGAGATCTCATGATTAGAGTTGGAGTTTTTAGGAAAGCATGTGAAGCCACATGTCCCAGTTGGTTTCACCAGAGAACTCTAAATTGAGGGTTTTAACCCAGCCAAGTCAGACTAACAGGAAAACTGGATGTGCAAGGAGGGAAGAAGCCTGGCAGCTCTCCTACAATCAACATCCCTAGGAAGGAAATGAAAGAGAAGACCCTGTAATTTGGAAGGATAAGTGTGGGGCTTGGAGACAGATAACGTACACACCACTCAAGTCCCCCTCCACTGCTGTTGATCAGCAATGTTTACCAGCAGCTGGGTTGGGAGAACCCAGGGTTTATGTGGCTGCTGCTGCAAGACAGCCCAGCAGGAGCTGGTAGTAGATTTAGTGAATTATAGTGCCAAAAAGACACAGTCATAGGTCACAGTTAGTACAAGGTTTGAAAGCCAGACCCAAGTAAATGCTGATGACTCTTCTAGACTAAGAAAAAGCGGCCCAGGATCTGAGTTCTCCATCTAAAGATGCCCATGGCACAGTCTCCCTCCCTAAACCCCTCATATTGTATTGTCTCTGATCTGGCTAGTGACATTTTAAAAGAATAACCCTTCAGATTGAATATCTAAGAAGAATACCTGAGAACAGCAACAGGTGGACAGTACCCTATCTCCTCTCAGTCCTGCCTTATCTATAAACATGAATTTAAAAGTTAGAAAAAACATCAGCACGAGATGTTTGAAAACAGTACTCAAGGTGCAAAAGAAAAGTGTATTTATGAGAAAGTTACTAAAGAAACAAAAGTAAATATTAGAAAATATTTGTTGTAGCCAAAAGTTGAGAAAAATATAAATCTGTGGTACTGACTGAAATGAAAAGAGGCATAAATAAAAGGAAGCTGGATGAGATAAGGGAAGGATTTTATAAAGTTGCAATAATTAGAGTTTAAAACAGCATTAGTAGTTGATGCATTACTTTCATAATTGTGAAATAAGATTGCTTGGGTCAGTCTCTCCTCATGGAAGAATTTTCTAACTCAAAATGCCAGAGAAATGCCAAAATTGGAGAAGTATAGAGGAGAAAATACTGAAGGTGATGACAAAACCAAGAAGTCTGGGATCAGAGAGCCAGGGAGATAAGCAGATAGTAACAGTGATTACCTGGAAAGAGCACTGTTGTTCTTGGCTCAGTTTTACAGACTCTGCTCTGCAGGATATAAGAGACCCAGCCACTTTTTTAAAGGTGTGTTTTTTAAATTGAAGTATAGTTGATTTACAGTGTTTCACATTTACAGTAAAATGATTCAGTTATACATATACATGTGTATATGTTGTTGTTCAGTTGCTAAGTTGTGTCCAACTTATATACATATGCTTTTTCAGATTCTTTTTCATTATAGGATATTACAAGATACTGAGTATAGTTTCCTGTGCCAAACCGTGGCTCTTTGTTGTTTATCTATTTTATATATAGCAGTGTATATCTGTTAATCCCAAATTTCAAATTTATCCCTCCCTCTCCTTTCCCCTTTGGTAACCATAAGCTTGTTTTCTATGTCTGCGAGTCTGTTTCTGTTCTGTAAATAAGTTCATTTATGCCATATTTTAGATTCTACATATAAGTGATATCATATGGCATTTGTCTTTCTCTTTCTGACTTATTAATACTTTACTTAGTTTGATAATGTCTAAATCCATTCATGTTGCTGCAAATGGCATTATTTCATTCTTTATTGTGACTGAGTAATAGTCCACTGTGTGTGTATATATGTGTATATGCCATATGTGTGTGTGTGTATATACATATATATATATGCCACACTTTCTTTATCCATTCATCTGTCAGTGGACATGTGTTGGCTATTATAAGTAGTGTTGCTGTGGTCATCACGGTGCATGGATCCTTTTGAATTAGACTTTTCCCTGGATATATCTCTTATGAGTGAGATTTCTGGATCATAAGGTAACTCAATTTTTAGTGTTTAAGGAACCTCCATATTGTTCGCCCTAGTGAAAATCAGCCACATTAAAAGTCATTTTTCAATTGAAGACTTCCCCCAAGAGGCAATCTTTTTATCCTGCTCACCTGTGATCTATTGCGTTGCCTGAATACTCCAGTCATGCTGCCCTAAACCATTTCATTCACATCCTTGCTTTCAAACACTGTCTATGGTATGGCTATAGCAAAGAAGTTGCTCCTTCACTGGTTTTAAAACCTTTGGGTTGTCCAAAGAGGGAAGAGAAAATTCAGTTGCACTTGCTTTTACCACTTTCTAAATTGATGCATTCTCATCAACTGCATATAACCCATGTAACTCAGTAAAGCACTCAGAAGAATCTTTTCTGAGACAGATCACTAAAAGCCTCCTTAGCAGAGAGAGAAGTGGAAAGCAATGGACCCCCAACAAGGACTTGTAGCCTGCATGAGCCATGCAACTGAGAACATTCTTAGAAGTACACATGTGCCATTAAGAAGTTAGAGAGTTGAATTTGCAGGAAAAATTTATTTTGTGCTTCAGATCATAAAGACACAGCTTTTTTCCCTGAACTGAGAGAAGAATCTAGTATCTCTCTCCCTTTCTTCAGATGAGAAAATGAAAGTCCAGAGAAAGTAACTTACCTAAGGTCACATAGTCAGCTAGTGGAAGAGTTTGAATTAGAAACATGCTTCTAGTAGCTTTTCATTAGAGAGGAAAAGTGTTTGGTAGGGGGACGGAGTACCACTGTAATATTTATTTAGTCACACAGTGTTTATTGAGCACTTACTATGTGCCAAACTCGTTAGGCCGCTCACCATAGTGAAGAAGTCAGATATGATCCAGGCCTTTATGGCATCGATATCCCAGAACAAACCTAGAACGGCTCATTACACATTCATCTAATTACAATTATGATGAGTGTCAAGAGGGATAAATTTAGAGTGTGAGCTTATAGCAGGGAAGCCTAACATCCACTGGGGGCCCAGGGGGACACATTAAGGAAATGAAAGTTTAAAGGGTAGGGATTTGAAACATGAGTAATACAGTAAGAGGAAGAAGAGAGAGAATACAATTAAAGGGAGCAGTGGAGTGAATCCAGCACCATCTAAGGGAACATAGAGGTGAAATGCAGCTGTTGTCCCTGAAAATGTGTACACTGCTAGAGATTTTAGTTTGATGCCATCTTCCTCCTTGTGTCTTGTGGATCTCTTATGACATTTAAAAGTGGTTTCTACTCTTTAGGTGGAATCTATCCTGTTCCCAGAGTTGAAAGGATATAATCTGATACTTGGAACTGTTAATGCTGATGAAAAACTGGTTTCTGACTTTGTGGATCAAACTTTCGAGGTATTTCAGAAAAATCAAGTTGGTCCCTACAAGTAAGTTGGTTTAGTTATAACTTAGCCATTATGGCATTGGTTTAGAGTTTGGCATTATTTATCATCAAATAAATAATCCCTATTCCCACAGACCTGAAACAATACATAATAAGTAGCCAATACTTACTTACATAGGGATTACTATTTATCCCTATTTGCAGATGAGGAAACCATAACTTTCCCAATGTTATACAGCAAATATATAGGAGAGCCAGAATTCAAATTACAGGTTTACCCCTATTATCTGAAAGCCTTGGCACCAGATAGATTCTGGAATTTAGAAATTCCTGAATTTTAACCAGTGGTCAGGCACCAGTCCTACCAGGAAGCCTTGAAAAACCTCTGGACCAACCTCACTCACCAGGTGGCAAACACCAGAAACAAGAAGAACTATAGTTCTTCTTTGTCAGAAAGTCTGACAAAATGAGAAGGCATATGTTCTATATGGCATATGTTCTAGACAAAGAAGGCAGAATCACAGAAGAACAACTGAGTGAAGCAGAGATAGACAATCTTCCAGAAAAGAATTCAGAATAATGATAGTGAAGATGATCCAAGATCTCAGAAACAGAAACAGAATGGATATACAGACTGAGAAGATAAAAGAAATGTTTAGCAAAGAGCTAGAAGACTTAAAGAACAAGTAAACAGAGATGAAAAATACAGTAACTGAAATGAAAAATCCCTGGAAGGAATCAATAGCACTGTAAATGAGGCAGAAGAATGAGTAAGTGAGCTGGAAAACAGATTGATTGGTGGAAATCACTGCCACAGAACAGGATAAAGGAAAAAGAATGAAAAGAAGTAAGGACTGCCTCAAAGACCTCTGGCATAACATTAAACACACGAACACTTACATTATAGTGGTCCAGGAAGGAGAAGAGAGAGAAAAATGGACATGGGAAGATACTTGAAGAGATAATAGCCAATAACTTACCTAACATGAAAAGGAAACACTCAGGTCCAGGAAGTGCAGAGAGTCCCATACAGGATAAACCCAAGAAGGAACATGCTGAGACACATATTAATGAAACTGACATAAATTAAGGACATAGAATATATTAAAAGCAGCAAGGGAAAAGCAACAAATAATATACAAGGGAACCCCATATGGTTATCAGCTGATTTTTCAGCAGAAACTCTGCAGACTAGAAAGGAGTGACACAGTATATTTAAAGTGATAAAAAGGAAAAACCTACAACCAAGAATACTCTACACAGCAAGGCTCTCATTCAGACTTGACAGAGAAATCAAAAGCTTTATAGACAAGCAAAAGCTAAGAGAATTCAGCACCACCAAATCAGCTTTACAACAAATGCTAAAGGAACTTCTCTAGGCAAAAACAAAAAGCCCACAAATAGAAAAAAAGAAATTTACAAAAGGGAAATCTTACCAATAAAGGCAAACATACACTAAAGAAGGAAAATCATCCACACACAAATATATAAAAATCAGCAATCGTGAGAGGAGGAGAATTCAACTGCAGGATATTGGAAATGCATTTGAAACTAAGATATCAGCAACTTAAAACAGCCTTGTGTGAGTTTGTGTGTGTGTGTGTATATGTGTAGGCTGCTGTGTCAAAACCTCGTGGAAACTGTAAATCAAAAATCTACAATAGATAGGCACACAGAAAAGAAAATGCAATCCAAACACAACCTTAAAGATAGTCATCAAATCACAAGAGAAGAGAACAAAAGGAAGGGAAGCAAGAAAGACTAGACCAAAAAATTCTGTATTACGAGAGGCTGTCCTTTATATGGTAGGATGTTTAGCAACATCCCTGGCTTCTTCCCTGTGAGTAGGACCCTCCCCAATTTTGAAAACCAAAAATGTGTTCAGACATGGCCAAATGTCCCCTGGGGACAAACTCACCTCCAGTTGAGAACAGCTGCTTGTCTATTCTGAAAATCATGGCCTCAGATTTGGAAGCTCTGCCCTCATGAATTCAACCTAGGATCTTCTGTTAGAAACCTCTGTTTTCCCTGTTTATTCTTATATATATAGTTTGTTTTTCTGGACTGACAGTTCCAGAAGCTTCTCTATGTCTCAGTTTCAGTCTCTGAAGTGTTGGCCAACTCTTGGAAGTATGCCACTGGGCTCTGCAAAGTTAATTCTGCTTACTCCATGTCATCTTTATTTTATTTTGAACATATTTTAAGTCAGAGCATCCCAAAATATCCTCCAATTTTGGGAAAATCTGTCCAGGCATTTTTACATTATCTGACAACAGACAGAGAGAAACTTAATTCTGTTCAAAAGACTTTAGGTTCATTAGTTCCAAATATTCATCTTAAAGTTTAGACATAGAATTTTAGAACTAGAAGGAGGAATAGGAAGTATTATTTATTGCACATTTACTGTAGGTTAGGCATAGTATTAATTGCTTTATATTATAGCTTTACAACAATCCAATGAGGTGTTGTTTCCACTTAAAATTAAGGACACTGACCTTTGAAAAATAGAAATATTTTGTCTAAGTTCATGTAGCTCAGAAGTGGCAAAATTGGAATTTGAAGGCAGAGTTCTGAATTCCCAGTTCACTGTGCCTTTTGCCATGTTGTGTTTCTTTCATAGTTTGGACTAGTTTTTATATTATCTCTTTGTTTGCCACTCTGACTAATCTGATTTGGTGACCTGTATTTGTATGTTTGATTTTATGCTCTTCAATATGGAAGATACTTAAATGTATACAAAAAGTATGATGACTTATTGGATAACACGGCAGAACAAAACATCACTGCATTCCTGAAGGAAAATCATGAAATTGAGGATTTTGTGATGGTAGGAGATGCCACTTGACATTTTTTTTGTATCTTGGTTACATGTACAACAGACAGTCCAATGAGTAGTCAGTGTGTTTCATTAGTATTATACAGTGCTCAACATTGTACTGTATTGGCTGGGGATGAGGCTAGGGGCAAATGCATAGAGGCTAAAGACAAATTAAACTACTGAATCTACTCTTTTCTACAGAGGATCAATAGCATTAAAAAGCGGAGAAATGAAATTGCATCCATGCACATAACTGTGCCTTTGGCCATGTTCTGCCTTGACACCATGACCCTAAATTATGATCTCTGTGAGCGAGCCCAAAATCTTAAAGACCGTCTGATTCAATTCCAAGTGGATGTAAACCGGGACACCAACACCAGGTATTATTGTTGCATGCAGGGAAATAGCAATGATAATTGGCACAAATGGGAGAATGAAAAAGTGGACTGAACTTGCACCTTCCAGCAGTGACCAGGCTGAACTTCCAATTCAACTTGTTTCTGCCCCCAAAGTGAGGGTTGCAGGGACTCTAGGCTCAGGCGAGATGATAAACAATAAGGAGAAAACTATCTGGGACTTAGAGTTGTTGTTCAGTCGCTCAGTCATGTCTGACTCTTTGTGATCCCATGGATTGCTGTGTGCCATATGTTATTCAATATGTTTTTGGTTGTAAGGGATAGGAGGTGAGACTGGCTAATGTAAAAAAGAAATTTGGAGTCTGCATGTTGAAAAGTATAGGAGTTGCTAGCCTCAGGCCCTTAATACTACAAATTAGGATGTAGTCTCCCTCCCTCTGCTTGCTGTCTGCTGTGTCAGCTTCATTCTTGGACAGGTTCTCTCCAGTTTGTGGGCCCCAGCAGCTCCAGATTTAATCCTCCCAAGTTCTCATTCACAGGGGAAAAAAGATTTCCCTTTCTTCCAACGCTGTGCCACTGGGTGGGTGTGGCACTGGCCTGACTTGGATTGTTTGGCCAACACCAAGGCAAACACCATAGTCAAGAGGATGGTTTAGATCTGGGTACTAGTCTCATCTCTGGAGTGGATGTCAGCCTTACCTAAACCATGAGAACCAAGAAAAGGAAAGAGAGGGTACCCTGAGAAGACATAAGCTGTGGTTACTAGAAAAAGAAATGATGCTAAGATGCTGGGACAGTAAATATCTGCTACTCTGTTTCTATTTGAATGTTACAGAATGTGTGTTATTTTTAGCTCTCTTTCTCAGACAGCTTCAAATGATAGACTAAAATGATTTAACACTAATAATCATTATTAATATCATTTTATATATTATTCATTTGTAGATAAGTATAAATTTAGCATTTTATGGCACTTTTAAGATTTATAAACTACATATCAGAAACTCATCAGCAAATTAATGATGATAATAGTTAGCATTTTTCCAGCACACATTGTAGTCCAGGCACTGTGTAAGTGTTCTGAACATTCAATATCTAATCAGTCTTTACACCAACCCTAAGAAGTTGTTCTCCTTTATGTTGATAAAGAAACTGAGCCTCCAAGAGATCCTCAAGTGGCACATCTAGGGCTTAACCTAGTTCATTTTGACTCTAAATCCACACTCTCCACCATTGCATTCAGCTTTCTGACTGAGTAATGAAATGATGAGATTCCTGTTTTGGGAGCCAAAAGTCTTGATTTTGAATCCAAGGCCTTCCATTTACTTGTTTGTGTCCTCTGGCTTCACCTCTTGGATCTTCAGTTCCTTTGCCTGTAGAATAAATATTTGGGACTAGGACAGTAAAACATTTTCAGCCTTGGAACTACTAGGACACTTCCTTTTGGAAAGTTTGAGCATGAGGTAGTTGTTGTTTGTTTGTTTTTTCTTAAGTATTTGTTCCTGTCAAATCAGAGCTTCCCCGGTGGCTCAACTGGTAAAGAATCCTGCCTGCAATGGGGAAGACCTGGGTTTGATCCCTGGGTTGGGAAGATCCCCTGGAGGAGGGAAAGGCTGCCCACTCCAGTGTTCTGGCCTGGGAAATTCCTTAGACTGTATAGTCCATGGAGTTGCAAAGAGTTGGACATGACTGACTTTCACTTTCACTTCCTGTCAAATCAAGCAACATCGTGCCTTGGTTGGTCCATGCTTCCTTCCCCATCAAAATAAATGTATAATTTCCCTTGGTCTTTTTAATATAAATGAAAGTAAGGGTCTCATTACAAACCTGGGGATTTCTAAGAGCCCAGAAACAGAAACTCCTGGTCAGTGATTGAGTTCTGAAGTTTCTTTCTACCTTGAAAATAGTGACTCTGACTCATTTGTTCTCAGCCATCCAATGAGGTAGGTAAAACAGATATAAAACACCCTACTGAATGGAGAAGAGGCCCAGAAAAAAAGAAAAAAAACAAACTCACTTGCCCAATTAGGTGAGTTTGAATCTTCTGAACCCACATCCCAGCCTTGCTACTTTTTTGCTGAGTGACGTAACTTCCTATTTCCAGTGATAGGTGTGCCCTGGAAGGGGATGCTCTGGCCATAAAGGCAGGAGGCACCTTGAAGTGCATTGGTAATAAAGTGGACATGCCATCCATTTACACTATAGGTGCATTGGTCTAAAGTTGCTAAAACCATGACTTGAAAGATTGATCAGAAATTCCATGGCCCTGAGTAGGGATATAAGAAATTATCCCTCTGGTTTGAATGTGTGTTCCCCTTGGGGTGGAATATCTTGTCCAAATAGTGACAACAAAGTAGAGAGGCCATAGATTGATGCAAAATATATTGGTCTCCATTATGCCATTACTACACCAGACAGAGAATAGCCCTGTGCTTACAGGACCCCTGGATCTTTATTTTAAATGATATTAGTGCATGTAGAAAACAGTGTTTGTTGTGTTTAACTTATCCCTGGATATTGCTCAGGTGTTATTTTGGTCAGATTTCTGATATCATCAACCCATATTCAGGACTTTTAGAGGGTCTAGTAGTTAATGGGTGTAAAAGAAAGACTCGACTCAGTCTAGCTCATGAGTAGCAAAAATCCACATCTTCCCTACTGTGTGTGTTCTGTGTGTCTCCTTTACTTTTATATAGAACTCTTCATTCTTGTCACTGCTGGTCACCAAATGTGTAGAGGACTTTCCCCACACAAATCAATTCAGCTGGGTGCCCTGCAGTTCAACTTAATTCTGACACTTGTCTTCCCAGAGGTAGCATCAGCTTCCACAGGTTAAGGGCTCAGTCCTATAAGACTGTCTTTCATAATTTCAGACACCAGTCACAAGTTGAGTTGTGCTCCTGCGCTTCTGACCAACCAGCTGTAAATTGAAGGCTCTCGTGACCCTTTTCTTGGGTTTAATTAATTTGTTCCAAGCTTCTAATCATGGCTTAGTCTTTCCAATGACCAGCTCCTCATCCAGGAGTCACCCTGAGTCACCTCACTAGAATGAAAGATACTCTTATCACCCATAAAATTCCATGGGTTTCATGGGCTGGATGCTAGGAACTGGGGGCAGAGACCAATATATACTTTTTGTTGAGACAGGAAGGGATAAAAATGAGTTTGGAACAGAAAGGGGTAGAGATTCTTTTCCCACTGAATTCTGCTCAAGTATTCCACCCCCCCGCAAATAAGTTGTGAACCATCGTATAAAGGAAAAAAGAGACCTCAAAAGCAGCGACTGAGCACAAGAGGAGGAAAAATAAAAAGACGGCAACTTGCTCCCAGGGACTGGAGAAAATTAAAAAAGTTTGGAATCCATCAGTGTTCCACTAGTCATCTTTTACTTCATCTTCCTCTTCTTCCTCCCCCTCATCATCATCTTCATCTTCTTCACCTCATCCTCATCCCCTTCTTCATCAATATCTTCCAATCCTTCTTCCTCTTCATCATCATCATCTTCCTCTTCTCCTTCCTCTTCCTCATCATCACATCAGGAACCAAGTAGTACTGTAATGGATTTGGCCAAATAGCATCTTTGATGACCTCCCCTAACTCATCTGAGGCCCTTGGACTGCAAGGAGATCCAACCAGTCCATCCTAAAGAAAATCAGTCTTGAATGTTCATTGGAAGGACTGATGTTGAAGCTGAAACTCCAGTACTTTGGCCACCTGATGTGAAGAGCTGACTCATTTGAAAAGATCCTGATGCTGAGAAAGATTAAAGGCAGGAGGAGAAGGGGATGACAGAGAATGAGATGGTTGGATGGCATCACTGACTTAATGGACATGAGTTTGAGTAAACTCTGGGAATTAGTGATGGACAGGGAGGCCTGGCATGCTGCAGTCCATGGGGTCGCAGGGAGTTGGACACGACTGAGCGGCTGAACTGAACTGAACTGATCTGCACCTGCATCAGAATGATCAGTAAACCAGGTGAAGAAGCTTTCTGGTTCCTCATGCTGTCTCTTCCTGCTGGCTTTATTCTGTGTTTGACTTGATCGTTTCGTCAAATCCTAAATGAAGATGGAAGAACTTATGATACACAGGCTCTCTATACCTCGTCTCTACAACTTAAATACGGTTTTAACCCAAAAGCAGAGCAAAATCTGGACAGTATATGATCTACACTATTGTTCTTATATGAAATTATAAAAAGTACAGTTAATAAAGAGAAGAAACCTTAGGATTCTAAGTCTGCAAAGAATGCTGTCAAATTTGTAGGCCAACCTTTTCTTGAAAGTTACTGTCTAGATTTGGCTTTTTAATACATATAAAATTAGTTCTACTTCAACAACCAGTATCTTTTTTTTTTTAACAACCAGTATCTTGAGACAGTATAATGTAAAATATTTATGTTTACTATTTAAATGCAGACAGAAATAGGTTTTGGGAAACAAAGCCACAATGTAAAATTCAAAATGATTTAAGTCCATGTCTACAAAAACTTGCTTCATTAACTTGTAAGACCATAAGCTACTGTACTTGGCTTTAACACAGATCTTTTTATTTTAAGGATCTGCATTTAACACATCACCAAACCATCAAGTATTAGTNAGGCCTCCCTGTCCATCACAAACTCCCGGAGTTTACCCAAACATATGTCCATCGTGTCGGTGATGCCATCCAGCCATCTCATCCGCTGTCGTCCCCTTCTCCTCCTGCTGCCCTGCAAATAAATTCTTCAGTACCATCTTTCTAGATTCTGTACATATGCATTAATATATGATAATTGTTTTTCTCTTTCTGACTTACTTCACTCTGTATAATTGGCTCTAGGTTCATCCACCTCATTAGAACTGACTCAGATGCATTCCTTTTTAGGGCTGTGTGATATTCTATTGTATATATGTACCACTGCTGCTTTATCTGTTTATCTGTTGATGGATATGTAGGTTGCTTCCATGTTCTAGCTATTGTAAATAGTGCTGCAATGAACATTGGGTGCATGTGTCTTTTTCGATTTTGCTTTCCTCAGAGTATATGGCTAGGAGTGGAGTGGGATTGCTGGGTCATACAGTGGTTTTCTTCCTAGTTTTTAAAGGAATTTCCATATTGTCTTCCATAGTGGCTGTATCAATTTACATTCCCACGAACATTGCAAGAGCTTTCCCTTTGCTCCACACCCTCTCAAGCATTTATTGTTTGTAGACTTTTTGATGATGGCCATTCTGACTGGTGTGAGGTGATATCTCATTGTAGTTTTGATTTGCATTTCTCTAATAATGAACTATATTGAGCATCTTTTCATGTGTTTGCTAGCCATTTGTGTGTCTTCTTTGGAGAGATTTCTGTTTAGGTCTTTTCCCCATTTTTTGATTGGGTTGTTTGTTTTTCTGGTATTGAGTTGTATGAGCTGCTTATATATTTTGGAAATTAATCCTTTGTCAGTTGTTTCATTCGCTATTATTTTCTCCCATTCTGAGGGTTCTCTTTTCACCTTGCTTATAGTTTCCTTTGCTGTGCAAAAGCTTTTAAGTTTGATCAAATATCCCTTGTTTACTTTTGTTTTTATTTCCATTACTCTAGGAGGTGGGTTATAGAGGATCTTGCTTTGATTTATGTCATCGAGTGTTCTACCTGTGTTTTCCTCTATTATAGTTTCTGGTCTTACATTTAGGTCTTTCATCCATTTTAAGTTTATCTTTGTGTATGGTGTTAGGAAGTGTTGTAATTTCATTCTTTTACACGTAGCTGTCCAATTTTCCCAGCATGGCTTATTGAAGAGGCTGTCTTTGCCCCATTGTATAATCTTATCTCCTTTGTCAAAAATAAGGTACCCATGAGTGTGTGGGTTTATTTTTGGGTTTTCAATCTTGTTCCATTGTTCTATATTTCTGTTTTTGTGCCAGTATCATAGGTTTTGATGACTGTAGCTTTGTAGTATAATCTGAAGTCAGGAGGGTTGATTCCTTCAGCTCTACTTTTCTTTTTCAAGACTTCTTTGGTTATTCAGGGTCTTTTGTGTTTCCATATGAACTGTGAAATTTTTCCATGAAAAATGCCATTGTTAATTGGATAGGGATCACATTGAATATGTAGATTGCATTTGGTAGTGTAGTCATTTTCACAATATTGATTCTTCTTGCCTAGGAACATAGAATATCTTTCCATCTGTTTATGTAATCTTTGATTTCTTTCATCAATGTCTTATAATTTTCTGTATACAGTTATTTTGTCTCCTTAAGTAGACTTATTCCTAGATATTTTATTCTTTTTGTTGCAAGGGTGAATGGGATTGATTCCTTAATTTCTCTTTCTGATTTTTCATTGTTAGTATATAGGAATGCAAGTGATGTCTGTGTATTGATTTTGTATCCTGACTTTGCTAAATTCACTTATTAGTAATTTTCTGATAGTATCTTTAGGGTTTTCTATGTATAGTATCATGTCATCTTCACACAGTGAGAGCTTTACTTCTTTTCCAATCTGAATTCCTTTTATTTCTTTTTCTTCTCTGATTGCTGTAACTAGGACTTCCAAAACTATGTTGAATAAAATGGGTAACCTGGAAGAAATGGACAGATTCTTAGAAAAGTTCAGTCTTCCAAGACTGAACCAAATAAGACTTAACTCTTATTTGTTAATAGTATAAGATTTGTAATCAGTTAAACCAGGTTCAGATCCTGGCTCTGATGCCTAAACATCATGTTGCTTTGGATAAAGTTACTCAGCCTCATTTCTTCCATTATAAAATGTTAGTAATATTAATAATTCCTAACTCTTAAAAATTTTGTGAAAATTAAATGAGTTAATACTCATTCAGTGATTAGAATGGGCATGGTAAAGGGCATAGTACATGTCATATATTATTACCATTTCTATTGTTATTATTTCTAAATATGGTATACATGTGAATATTATCCATCAAGAATTTGCAGGTAGAGAAAATTTGGAAAACCTTGTTCTAATCTCCAAATAGTAATCATGTCTGCTTAGTATAGTGGATTTTATAAGAAAGTTATTTTAGATGTTGATGATGGCTATTACTTTCCCTGTAGCATCTGTAATCAGTACAGCATCATTGCCGACAAAGTCAGTGAGATTCCTATCAACACTGGGGAGCTAGTATTCCTCATTGAATTCTTAAAGAAATCCAGTGATGTCACCGTGTTCAAACTCAGGAGACAACTTAGAGATGCAGTTGAACGGCTGGAGTTCTTGATGGACTATGCAGACTTGCCCCGTAAGTCCAATGTTATGTGTGTACATGCAAATGTATGTATATATTTATATGTTTAGATATAAGGAGCTTGGAAAGAAGAGTTCACTATCCTCCTGCTAAATACCTGTATCAGAAGAGCTGCTTTTTAAGTGTGTCTCTATATTAGAGACACTAATTCCACACTCTTATCCAGAGGAATTTGAATCAAATGAAGAGAATCTTATTGGTAGACAAAAAGAAATATCTAGGGACTTGTCTGGTTCTTAGATGCCTGTCTTTGCATCTTATGCATGGTGTTCCTAAAAGAGTCTCTTTCAAATGCAGAGTCCTTTTATAAATGGGTAGATTTCATTCATCTATAATCTTAACACAATCCTACCTTTGAGGAAGCTAGGGCACTTTCCTTCATGCTCCTGCATATTTTAAGAGGAAAGAAATAGTCAGGGCCCCTTCATGGCTTCTTGAGCCAAGTTAGGACTCAATAAGGACCTAACTTTGTAAGGACCAGGTTCTGAAGGAAAAGCTAGTATCACATCTACAAGTCACATTTCAGGACCTTTTTCCATCTGGAAATACCTGTGAATTATCTGGTGTTCACCATGATTAGGGAGGAATGGTTATGGGAGGGAGAGATAGGGAGTGGGAGTGAAAAATTGGTCCCATAACCATCCACCTGCACATTCATAAGCTGTGCTCTTGACCGTGTGAACACACACTGGATTCCCTCACTGTGGTCTCTACCCCCTGAATTCCCAAAGGTACACAGGGAACCCAGCGCATTTTCACTGACCAGAGCCATAAAATGGGTAGGGTATCTGATGTTGATATTACCACTGACCTTTAACCCAGACTGAAATTTAGATGAGGTGAGATAGTTTAAAGAATAGTAGCAAACTTTAGCTAGGATTCTACTCAGACCTAGCCTAGGAAGATAACGAAGTGCATAGTGGTTAGGACACAGGCTTTGGAGTTGGTTAGTCCTGGGTTTGAAATCTGTCCTGCTGTCTCCTAGCAGTGTGACCATGACCACTTGGCTTAACTTTGTTTCCCATCTATAAAAACAAAGATGATCATACCATCTACCTTCTAGCCTGGCCCTTGGTAAGTGCTCAGTAAATGTTGGGTAACATTCATCAATAATGGGCCCACTCATTAATTGCCACCCCTATACTCACTTCTGTTGACCTCTTATTCTGCTGAGTTAATTCATTGCGAACTGAGCAGTGTCCTTGAGCAGACTGTGTGTGTTTTGCAGAAGAGGATATCAAACTGAACAGCACTGTGTTCCTCTGGCCAGACCAGATTGAAGATATCTTTGAAAACAGCCGGAACCTTCTCCTTAGCAAGAGGGATCAGGCAGAGATGGACCTCATTAAAAGGTATAGGAAAAGTCTGATGTTTAAGAAGTGATATCCAGCTTTATAATATGCTACGTGTTCCTGGTTCTGTCTGGGGCCACCCCTGATCCAGCAATGCGTGGGTGAAGGTTCATTACAGTTGGTGGAGAAGGAATTTCCTTTTGTTTCCTGCTAAGGGATATTCTCTTTAAGCCTGCTTCACTGTAATAACTCCAACCAATGCCTTCCCTCCCTGCCTTGAACAATTGAAATTTAGTGCTGCAGAGAGAAAAAGGCAAAAATAGTAGCATATAAGAGCAGCCTTACAATAATAATAGCAAAATTTTCAGCCTTACATTTGAGACCGTGGATCTGTGAGATACCAAGGCAGGGATAATAAAGCATGGTTGGTAGCCGAGAAATTGCATGTTTTGAAGCTGATCTCATTCAGTACTAATGTGCCTGTAATCATTTTTTCATTGAGTATTATGACTTTTTACTATGTGTTGTGCTCTATTCTAGACACATAAGTGTGTTTGACTGCTAAATAAAGATTTTAATACAGTGACAAAATATCACATACTGAAGAAGTCAGACAATGTCCAGTGAATTGGGCCAAGTATCACGTATCTGGTAAAGACATGCTTGTGTACAAATGCATGTGCACATGCATGCACACACACTCACACATACACATACCAATTTATAAGCACTTTGTTTAGGGACAGCAAATTCATACCAGTTACCATCCCCATCACACATGAAACCCCCAGTGCCCAACTTTAGATTCCGTAATCCTTGCTAATACTCAGGAGAAAGGAAAAGGGCAGATAAAGCAGGGGTTTCTACACAGAATGGGAGATTGCACTGAAGGATAATCCCAAGAGAGGAAGTTGCTATCTTCACAACAACTTTTGCCCAGAAAAACAACAAAAGAGATGTGTATGTTTGTTTCCACTTACAGCCTTCTCCTCCCTCTGCCTAAATGGCTACTGTCCCCAGAACCCAGAATTTAGCTCAATGAATAGAACTTATTTTTTTAACTAATGTTTTTGTTGTTGTTCAGTTGCTAAGATGTGTCTCTTTGCAACCCCATGGATTGCAGCATGCCATGCTTCCCTGTCTTTCACTGTCTCCCAGAATTTGCTCAAACTCATGTCCATTGAGTCTGTGATGCTATTCAACCGTCTCATCCTCTGTCATCCCCTTCCCTTCCTGCCCTTGATCTTTCTCAACATCAGGGTCTTTTCCAATGAGTCAGTTCTTCACATCAGGTGGTGAGAGTATTGGAGCTTCAGCTTCAGCATCAGTCCTTCCAGTGAATATCCAGGGTTGATTTCCTTTAGGACTGACTAAAGGAAATCAGTCCAAGGGACTTAAAAACAACAAAAGAGATGTGTATGTTTGTTTCCACTTACAGCCTTCTCCTCCCTCTGCCTAAATGGCTACTGTCCCCAGAACCCAGAATTTAGCCCAATGAATAGAACTTATTTTTTTAACTAATGTTTTTGTTGTTCAGTTGCTAAGGTGTGTCTCTTTGCAACCCCATGAATTGCAGCATGCCAAGCTTCCCTGTCTTTCACTATCTCCCAGAATTTGCTCAAACTCATGTCCATTGAGTCTGTGATGCTATTCAACCATCTCATCCTCTGTCATCCCCTTCCCTTCCTGCCTTTGATCTTTCTCAACATCAGGGTCTTTTCCAATGAGTCAGTTCTTCACTTCAGGTGGCGAAAGTATTGGAGCTTCAGCTTCAGCATCAGTCCTTCCAGTGAATATCCAGGGTTGATTTCCTTTAGGACTGACTAAAGGAAATCAGTCCAAGGGACTCTCAAGAGTATTCTCCAATACCACAATTTGAAAGCATCAGTTCTTCAATGCTCAGCATTCTTTATGGTCCAGTTCTCACATCTGTACTTGACTACTGGAGGAATCATAGCTTTGATTATACAGACCTTTGTCAGCAAAGTGATGTCTCTGCTTTTTAATATGCTGCCTTAAGTTTGTCATAGGTTTCCTTCCAAGGAGCAAGCATCTTTTTTCCTTTTTATAACAGTTTTAGGTTCACAGAAAAATTGAGCAGAAAGTATAGAGTCCTCCCATACCCCCTCACCCCTTACACATAGCCTCCCCCTTCAGTGGAACTGGGTTTTGATGCCTCACCAAGACGCAGAACCATTTTAAAAGCTAGATGAACAGGAGCAAATTTCTTCCATCTTTTTTGAGCCTCAGTGTCCTCATCTGGAAAATGGGGATAGTAGAACCAATCTTAGATCATCTGATTTTGTGAGAGGTGTCATTGTGTTAAAGGATGAAATCAGATGGTCTGAGGTGGTGCCTAAGTGATATCCAGCACATGGCAGGCATTCAGGAGCAGTCAGCTTCTTTTGCACATTAACGATGACTTCTTTAAGTTAAAGAAGTCTTAACTGCTTAACTTTCAAACCACTGCCTGTGAGCGGACTTCTAGAACATTACTCTAAGACCATTAATTCACAGTAACTTTTGAAGTTAATAGGACTGAGGGGTAGCTCTGGAAGAAATTGGAACACGTGTCATTTATGGTGAGAGGAGAGTGCCAGACTTCTTCTTGGAGTGGCAATGCAAGCGTGACCCATCACTTGGTATCTGAGCTCTCAATCACAGAGCTCAGCAGAGAAGCAGCTCTAGGGACACCTGCAACCCTGGGCTCAGCCCTCTCTTTAGTGAACTCTTAAACTTCTTGTCCATCATTTTTGCATAAATCCTGAGAAAACCTACGAGGAGGGCTTAGAAATACTCATTTATTCATCTTCTATGAGAACAATGCCCTTCCCTCTCTAAGAGACTTGACTTTATTTTCCCAGGTCACAGTGGTTTTTTTTACTTCAATGGCAATTTCCATTTGTTGTCCCCACCCCCTCTCCCAATTTCTATCCACCTTCCTCTGTCCACTCCCTGCGTGGTTGGCTGATTCCTGCAGTCTCTAGCCTTCAGCTCCCGTGTCTGTTGGATCCAGACGGGCAGGGCCAGTGGAAAGCCCTCTCGAGGTTGGAGAGTGGCTGCCATGCTTCTTCTCCTCTCCCTCCCTCCTTGTTCCTGGGGTTCTGGCCAGTAGCTGCTTCCATCCTGGATGACAATTCTTTCTCCTCCTGTTTCCAGTTCTCATTGTCCCCTCAGGCCTAGGGATCATAGTGACTTCCCTCTGAGGTTACTAGTCTCTGGATGCTTCATTCTCCTCTCTTTGTTCCTTTAACCCTACCCACATTTCACCTCTGCAAGTAGTCCCTTCATTGAAGTCTCTTTCTTTGAGCATCAGAGTAAATTATGTTTCTTGCCAGAATTCTCACCAATATAACATTTTAAAATTATTGCAATATTCTCCCACAGACTTCAGGTGGTCCTAGGAATAGAACTCAATTTACTTAACCAAATTTCCCGAGTACCTACTATTTACTAATGACATACTTATATGTATGTATATACTATGGATTTGAAAGCACTTTAGAAATTGTAATGTGCTAAGCAATTATAAAAAATTTAAAACAGTATAAACAGTTATAAAAAATATTTTACAGTGATATAATGCACAACATAGGGAACATAGTCAATATTTTATAATAACTTTGTCTAATGTGTGATCTATAAAGATATCAAATCACTGTGTTACACAACTGAGACCAATATTGCAAGTCAACTGTACTTCAGTAAAATTTGTAAAATAGAAATGTAAAGCATAGTTAACAGTAATATTTTACAATAATCACTGAGTTTGTATACTACTTCCCTCTGGGAAGAATTCAAAAGTGCTTTTATCAGAGATTTATTTTTGTGTGTAAGTCTGTATTTGACATCTAAAAAGAATCTTAACCATGTGAAAAGGCAGTCAGCAGCACATAATTGTGTGGACAACAGGAGAATCAGCTTTCCTCCCATTTTGTTCCACTCAGTGGTAGGTTCCAAGGGCCTAAAAGTAACCTGGAATATACATGACAAACATCTCAGGAATGTGAGCTGCTCTTGGCCATGAAAGTGCATCTTGTGAATAGAAAGAAAGGTATCTTAGGGAGAGTACCCAGATTGTGTTCTGGGGTCCAGGGAGAACATAGTGCTTTGCAAATAGCAAGTTCTCACTCTTTTGATGAGTGAATGAATGAGTGAATGAATGAGACTTTTTCCTAATTAGGATATTCTCTGAAATTAATACCTATCAGAGTATAAAATCACAAAACAAAAGCAAAAACTTAGTGCTACGTGTCTCGTGGCACTAATGTTTTCTATCTCTGAATCCTTAAAACTTTAGTGAAAAACAAGCTCGAGAGGCAGTAGCCACCTTGCCTTCCTTCCTCTTGGGCTCCTGTATCCATTTCTCTTTTCAGAGGATACAGAGAAGAAAAGGGACATGGGAGGTGGAAGATAAAGCTGATAAGACAGAAGCTCTATGAAGGAAAAGAATGGGGAAATGGAGCACAGTGGTTGCATTCAAAGGGCAAATCCGGGAAGGGCTCATGTAAATGAGACTTGAAGGATGAGAAGGAGCCTGGTAAGGCAAGATGGGAGGGAGAGAATAGAAGGATGTCCTATTCTATTGCAGGTATCAAGCATGACCAATGGCTCCAACTTGAGACTACCTTTGCCTATAAAATGAGGGAGTAACATTCCATCAATTTTGCCATATTCTTTGTTAGAAGTGAGTTACTAGCTCTAGCCCATACTCAAGAGGATGGTTATACAAGGATAGAAGTACCAAGAGGTATGGCTCTTTGAGGACCTTACCAGAGGCTACTCACCACACAGTGTAGTTAGAAATAAATTCAAATCAAACCATTGAAAATTAACTCTTTTAAATTATTTTTAAGAGAAAAAAGAACATCAAAACTGCCATGACAAAATTAAGTATTTTTAAGATAATAGCCAAATTTATGTTACTATAGTTGTTCTCCATGCCAAATTCCCCTTATTCATTCAATGAACATTGATGGTATTATGGCAGATGCTTCTTCTAAGTGCTGGAGATTCAATAGGGATTTAAGGAGGTTAAAACTGCATTGGTAGAGTTTAAATTCTGTGAATGAGACTGAACACTTGTATAGTGATTATTATGTACCAGGCTCAATTTGAGCATTTTGTATATGTTAGCTTATTGACTGCTAGAGTAGGTACTTTATCCATCTCTGTTTCATCTGAGGCCTAAAGAGTTTAAAGGACTTGAACAAGGTCACATAGCTACTGTGTAGCAATGTAGGGACTTGAACTAGTCAGTTCAGCTCTAGAACCTATCCACTTAATACTATGCTAATCTACCTCTTAGGAAAAGGGAGAAGTGAATTTGAGAACTGCTTTGTTGATAATATGAATGAAGTAGATAAATCTCTAGAATAGTCTTCCCTGATCACTCTAACTAAAATAACTTCTGTCCACTAGGCATTCTGCTCTGTTCTGTGTTCTTCAGAGTGTTTATCACTATCAGAAATATTTTATTTCATATTTATCTATGTATGATTTTATCTATCCATCCATTCATTCATCCATTCATATATGTTTACTGTTTGGGTTTCCCCAAACTAAAATACAAGCTCCATAATGGTAGGGAGTGTAAGGGTGTACTTCACAAATATATTCCTGATGCCTAGAGCAGTTCTTGGAATTAGGCATTTAATAATAAATATCTAATATATAAATAGATAATATGTATATGCATGAATTTTATACATGTATGTGTATATATATATACACATATACATATATATATATATATATACACCAGGGCTTCTCTGGTGGCTCAGTGGTAAAGAATCCAGTTGCCAGGGCAGGAGACACAGGTTCGATCCCAGAATCAGAAAGATCCACTGGAGTAGGAAATGGCAACCTACACCAGTATTCTTGCCTGGGAAATCCCGTGGACAGCAGTAGCCTGGCATGTTAGTCCTTGGGGTGACAAAAGAGTCAGGTATGTCTTAGCAACTAAACAACAACATATATTATATAGCATATATATTGTAATACGTATTTTATATACATTTACCTGTATGAGAAACATCTGGAAATATTTAACCACTGATAGGTTCACAGCAGCTGTCTCTGGGAGGTAGGATTACAAATTATATATAATAGCATATATTTGTAAGTTTTACATCTATTGTATCAGAAGATCATATTCTCCCCAGGCTTGAATATGGCTGAGCAGTGCTGATAAATGGAAAATCCAAATATGATTGGATTGTCTTTATTTTCAGGTGCTCAGAATTTGAAGTGAAACTTGAGGGCTACAGCAAGGAACTAGAAGGTTTTAGGAAACGTGAAGTAATGACTACAGAAGAAATGAAGAACAATGTTGAAAAGCTTAATGAGCTTTCAAAGAACCTGGAACAAGCACTGGTGGAATTTGAGGTTTGGGGTCTTGGGATGGGCACTTATGACTATACTGCTCTGTTGGTTCTGGTCCTTAGTTATGTGTTTTCCTAACATCACCTGTCAGGTGGATAGCATTAGTTGATTGATTGACCAGTTCTTTCTCTGGTACTTTCAACTACCTTTTCCCATACCCCCCTACATTATATCAGCTTTGTTAGTCACTGAGTACATAAAGAAGAGTTATTAATATAATAGAATAATTGCTGATGTGTATCAAGCATGTATTATGTACACAATGTGCAAAGGACTTCATATATGATATATCACTTAATATTCATAATAAATCTTTGGGGTAGGTACTATATATTCATTTATCTCTATTTAAAATGGGAGAACTAAGTCTTGGAGAAGCTAAGTAACTTGCCCTGAAGTTGTCTACAGTAGTAAGTTCTTTAATCATTAAAGTTCTTACCTTTGAGGCAGTTCAGCACAAGAAGGTAACCTTGTGTTAACAGTTAAAGTACATATAAAAATTTGTGAAAATGGGAATATGTATGTGTTACAGTGGAAGCAAAGATGATGGGGCAGGTGGCCAATTATTGTAAAGTTTCACTCACTGATCTCAGGTGCCATGACCCTCAGAGGTAACAGAGAGACCTTCTTGCTTGGGTTCATACCTTATTTTCCAGTCTTACTCTCCAGATGAACATACATCTTCCTCAACTTGGTTTTCAAAGCACTGAGGAATTTGCCATGGTGGCTTCTAGGGTTCAGGAGAACCACCCACCCAATAAACAGCACCCCCTTTTGCCCTGCAGTTGATCAATAAGGAGGAGGAGCTGTTGGAAAAGGAGAAGAGTACCTTCCCTCTTCTGCAAACTGTGATGACCAACAAAGTGCCTTATGAGCAGCTGTGGGTGACAGCCTACGAGTTTAGCACCAAGTCAGAGGAATGGATGAATGGTAAGCCGCAGTTTCACTCTACTCGGGCAGGATGGGAGTAGGGTAGCAGAATCAACCCAGCCAGTTTTGAAATAAGACTGGGACTTCAGATTTTATCATATTCTCATACTGTGGATTAAGGCAACCATAGTTAAATTTTTCTGATGTGATAATGATGGAAGGTGGGGATCAAAAAGCCAGACCTGTAGCTAGGATAAAATACAATAGGCAACCACTCAAAGCCTTGGATTGGGTAGTGACTCAGAGAGGCAAGTGGTGGGAGGATAAGATGGCAGTTCCCCTATTATGCTGATGCTTTATGCCAGTGCTTCAATGTAATAAACACAACTATGAAGAACACCTTTGTTGCCAATTTTCTGGATACAATAATGAGAATTTTCTTAGGATAAGTTACTGGAAGTGAAATGGCTAGATCAAAGAAAGGGTTGTAATAAAAATATAAGGATTTTAGAATTTACTTTTATTATTGGTATTGCTTTCCAGAAAAGTTATGTTTTAATTTAATATTCTTCTAGCAGTATTTGAGTGCCCATTCCTCATACCTTCAACAAACATGAGAAGTAAGGGCTTTACTTTTTTGCTCAAAAAAGTGTTTTTTCCTTTAATAGAAGTTGAATGTTTATTGGTCAGTTGAATTCCTTGTTTAATATTAAAGTCTATTTATGTGCTCTCTCACTTTTTTCTATTACTAAACCACCTTATTTAAATAATTTTCAGTTTTGAATAATATTTTTATGGATGCATTTTAGTTTTTCAAGTACTCAATCATATCTACACATTTAGAATATTTTACCTTATTTATCACTTTCACACCTCTTTAAAATTCACTTTTCTGTATTAACTAGCACTTCCAAATTAAGCAGTAGTTATAATGAACACCTTTGTCTTATTCCTGATTCCAATGGAATTCTTCTAGAATGTCACCTTTAAACATGATGCTTTTTGTAGATTTGAGGCACAAAATATTTATGGTGTTAAGGAAGTATTTTTAATTTAGCATGTCTTTTTGTTAGAGATAATATATTTAAAATTTTTATATTTTGTTTATCAGTTCCAATGACTTCAATAAACTTCCTTGTACTACTCCTTCATAATCACACTCTCTACAGCCTTAACACCTGGCAACTATTGATCTCTTCATTGTTACTACAGCTTTGTCTTTTTGAGACTGTCATATAAATTCCATTTTCTTTTTCAAATTTTATTACAACTTTTGCAGTACCTTTGTCTTTATATCTTTTGTATAAAATTTGAGATTCAGCTTATTCATTTATATACGAAATCTGCTGGAATTTTAATTGGAAATGTATTACATCTAGAGATCAATTTGGAAAAGAATTGACATCTTTACCATGAAATCTTCCAATCCATGGACACTGCATATTTAATTATTTTGATCTTCTTTGACTTCATTTTGCCAATGTTTTGTAGGTTTCCACATATAAATTCTATACATGNTTTTCCAACTATCTTTTCTGTTATTAAGTTATGAGAATAAAAATTCTTGCCTCATTTCCAATGTAAGGGAGAAAGTATTCCATCTTTCACCATTAATTGTAATGGGTTTTTTGCTTTTATTTTTTTAACCACTTTTTTGTAGTGTGAATGACATATAAAAAGCTGTATATACTTAATATGTATAAAAATGTAATGATAGTGTAGGTTTTCATAGATGCTCTGTATCAGGCTATGGACATTCCCTTCTATTCCTAGTTTGTTTAGAGATTTTTATCATGAATGGATATTGGACTTTGTCAAATGCTTTTTCTGCTTCAATTTACATTATCATGTGATTTTCCTTCTTTCGAATGTTAATGTCATATATTACATTGCTTGATTTTCAAATGTTAAATCAACCTTGCATTCTGTGATAAACTTCACTTAAACATGGTGTATGATTCTTTTTATATATTGCATCTTTATATATATATATATATAAAGAAATATGCATTTTTTCCTTCTTTTAAAAAATTTTTAATATTCTATTACTTAACAAAATTGTGTGGGCTGATAAAGTGTTATTTATTAATGAAGTTCTATGAATGAATCTATTTTTAGTCTCAGCAGCCCTGGAAGGAAAGTGTTTTTGAGTTAATTAGCAACATCATAATATAAGAGTTAATACTAATTTGAAATATCAAAGGAGAAGAAAGCAGCAGCATGGAAAGACTGAATGTGAAACCCAAATGTTAAAAGATACCTGTGAAAGAAAAGGAGAAGAAAATGAATGTTTTGGCAGTTTTTTTTTTAAAATAGATGTCATTTTCTGCTTTAAATAATATCTATTTTTAAATAATTTTAACCTTGCATAAAATCTGTCAGAACTGTACAGTTAACTCCCATGTCCCTATTCACCCACATTCTCCAGTTGTTAATATTTCACAGCATTTGTGGAACACCTTTTGGTACTTCTGTAATAGGACCTACAACTTACACTAACAATTGCTTCCATACTAACATTCTATGCCAGGCATTATATTAGCCACTTTACTTGTCTCATATAATTTTTACAGCTACCCTCCAAGGTACCTCCAAGGTACCCATTATTATCGCTGTGTCCCAGGTCAGGGTACTGAGGCTTAGAAAAGTTCAATCGGTATGCCTAAGGCTTCACTGGCTGGGTAGAGGTTTCAGACCAACTCCAAAACTTGTGCTTATTAACAAAGTCATACCATAGACACAATTCTAAATTCAGAGGATGAAGGTACATGTGATTAACACTATTTGGTGATCTGACCTTTCTCCCACCCCATCTTTTCTATTTCAGGACCCCTCTTTTTACTGAATGCTGAGGAAATCGCAGAAGAAATAGGGAATATGTGGAGGACAATATACAAATTGACCAAGACCTTTGCAGACATGCCTGCACCGAGGCGCTTAGCGGAGAATGTGAAAATCAAGATTGATAAATTCAAGCAGCACATCCCTATCCTCACCATTTCCTGCAACCCAGGAATGAAAGACCGGCACTGGCAGCAGGTCCTTGTCCCTGCCCCCTCCAGCCGCCCAGCCCATTTCTGGTCCCCATAGCCCTTTGGAAGGCAGGAACCACTAATGGGGCAAGGTTCTTCTTTCTGAAAGGAGAATCTACTTGAGGCCAAGACAGTAGTGAAGGCGGTGATACCCTTCCTGCCTCTCTATGTGAACAGGCTGATCCTTTTCTTTGGGGACCCCATTGCTGGTGGTTGAGTATTAGTCCAGCTAGTGGCCACAAAAGCTCTCCTTATCTGCTTTCCCAAGCACATGGCTGCTCAGGGTCCTAAAGACAATAATGCTCAGTTGCTCAGTTGTGTCCGACTCTTTGGGGCCCAATGGACTGTAACCCACCAGGCTCCTTCGTCCATGGAATTTTCCATGCAAGAATACTGAAGTGGGTTGCCATTTTCTACTCCAGGGGATCTTTCTGACCCAGGAGTCGAACCCATGTCTCTTTTGTCTCCTGCATTGGCAGGCAAATTCTTTACCACTAGCACCACCTGGGAATCCCCAAAAGATGATAAGGGTCTCGAATTACAATGAGAGGGGCCTGGATTTGTTCCTTGACCTAGGCTACACAAAAGAGAAGGTCTATCTCTGGGGGCTTCTAACGATGCCAAATGATTCCTACTTCAGCTTCATCATCCAGCAGGCTATGTTCCAAGATAATTTTGCACTGTTTCCTTCAGCCCTTTTGAGTCCATAAATGAGAATAATAAATATTCTCCCTGAAAACGATGGGATTTTTACAAGCAATCAAGTGTGAGGGTGACAAATGTGGTGTGAATACTAATAAGAAAAAAGGAAACTCACTGTGTTTCTAAAATAATCATCACATTCAAGAGCTAGCAATGGCCTTGAAACATATTCTACCAGGGAGTTGCTCTATGTGGAGGCGGAGAGGAGACTGGCTGTCCCTACACAGATCCCTCCCTGACTGGGCCTGAAATTCTCTCTCTGAAAGCCATGCACAAGACTAGGGACAGTGTCTCTAGAAGCAGTCTGAGAGCACCCTTACTGGGAGTACTGACATTCAAGACATAAGCATAGGACATAAAGGACAGAGCGAAGACATCTGGTAGACTCTGGGTCTTGAACTGCCTCAGCGGAGGGGTCTTTACAGGGACAGCTGCTTCACTTGGTACTCATGGGTGCCTCTCCCTGTGGGTCTAACCTGCCTAGAACTTTGACCCATTTAGAGAGTGAGGTAGCCAGATGCCCTCCAGCAGTGCTAAGTCTCTCCATGAGATGGCATTATAGAAAGTATCCTCATCAATGGCTTTTAAACAGTGCTACAGGGGAGGCTCAGAAAGCCTTCCTCTCTCCATCTGCTGCTTCCCCTGTGATGATAGTATTCTCATAGTTGGGCACTTTAAAAACCCCAACCATTCCTAGACATTAATAATTCTCACTTATAAGCCACTTAGATGGACAGATTGGGGGAGAAATTCCCTGGAATTAAAATAATAACAATAATAGCTAAAGTGTACTGAGTACCAACTATGTACTGAGTACTGTTATATACTTTATGTGGATTCTCTCATTTCATCTTCCCAACAATCCTTTGAAGAACAATAAATTTCTCCATGGTCAGTGGAGGAAGCATTCTCAGTTCTAATTCTCAGTGCCAACTCAGGAGATCCTTGTTCACAGATTTGGCTCTGGCGGGGGTTCTATAGGCTTAACCATCTGTAGCTCTCAAGGCTACAAAATGGATTTTCTAGGGCTGTGAGGTGATTGTTTTGAGATTTCTGACCACTTCCCAGAACTTAAGCAAGAAAGGCTAGTCTCCATGTTTGAAACGTAGACTTTATTGCTACTGGGGTTTAAAACAGGATAGAACAGGTAACACTACTCTGATATGTACCAAAGCTGACTCTCTAGGATGCTGCTGCCCAATGGAAATAACAAGCATGCATTTAATTTTGAAGTTTCTAGTAGGCACATTTTTAAAAGTATAAACAGGTGAAATAAATTGTAAATATGTTTAACTAAACATGTCTAAAGCATCATTAGTTCAATAGATAATCAATATAAAAATGTTAATGTAATCTCTCTTTGAAATATGGCATGCTTTTATAAAACTGCAGCACATTTTGATATGAATTAGTCGCATTTCAAGTTCTCAATAACTACAGGGGGTTAGTGGCTACATATTGGATAGTGTAACTTCAGGCTCTTAGAATTAGAAAATCAGATGCCTTTTTAATCTATATAATTAACAAAAGCAGTTTAAAATAAAACTACAAATCTCTGAGTGTTTTATCGACCAAGTGCCATGCCAAGTGCTTTACACAGTTATGTCATTTAACCCTAGAGATAATGTAATGTCCTAAAGTCAAACTTGAGAATTACAGAATAAATGAGAGCCCAGAGCCACCAGAAACAATTGTGCAGTTTGTTTTTGAGGGCATGCTATTTTTTGTGCCCTGCAGTTTGAATTGTACTTTCTAGAGTTACGCAGTATATAATCTGTACAACTATACCTAGAAGACCTATAGGAAACACTAATGTATGATGGATGAGAGGTTTGGCGTCAGAATTAGATCCAAGTCCCAATTCTGAAATGGCTATTATGATCTATTATTATGATCTGTTAGCTAAATGGTCATAAATAAGATACTTAAATTCTTTGTCTCGGTTTCCTTTTATGTAAAATGGGAATAATAATGTATTAGTACCTTCCTCACATTGGGTGAATGAAGGAAGTACATAAAGCTCTTACAACAGTGCCTATCACATAGTAAGCCCTCAGTAATATTGCTTTTGTTATTTCCATTACCTCAGTGGCCCTTCAGGTGATCTCAGAACCCAGATTGGAAGCTGTTTGTATTGCGTGAATCACTCATGCTTTCACGCCACAAGTGCTTATTGATGCTACATTCCAGGCCCCAGGGACACAGGGCTGAATAAGACAGAACCTGATGCAACTTTCATATCCCTTCCTGCTCTGATATTTTTTAGTCCTACTGGAGCTGGACAGATACAAAACTGGGCAATAGGGAAAGTTTTTTACAGAGCTTCATTCCCCCAACCCACATGTTCTTCTTGAGCACACATAAGCCTCATGCTGCCCAGATCTCTCAATCTCTATAAAAGTGTTCAAAGGCCATCAGAGACTTCATCAAAGACTGTTCACAGGGATATTTTCACTTAAAAGATAAGGTTGGGTAATATTTACAACAAAGGAATGGGCATAACAAGTGCTAACATTTTCAATCAGTTAGTACACAGAGTTGGAAGGAAGATTTTCCTCTTTCCCAGCACCCTCCGGTCACAGAATTTGGGAATCTGCCCGTCCCATGTCCTCATGACTTCCTCCTTTTATTCAGCACATCCAGCAGCTTCTGAGCATGAATCACATTTTGCCCTGGTTCACTGCCTGGGAGCCCAAAACCAGACCTAGTTGTGAGGACAATTAGGTAGTGTGGGACCTGTAAGGTGCCCACATGTTTGCATTATGCCAAGTTCTGGTGGGAAAACAACCCCCAGTAGACAAGACACAATGCAGGCGGAGCCCTAGGCTGCCTCCCAGATCCTTAGACCTGCACTGTCCAATTCGATAGCCACTTGCTACACTCAGCTATTTAAACATAAATGAGTAAAATAAAATTTGAAAATCAATTCCTCAGTCACATTAGCCACCATCTTGGGGCTCACCAGCTGAATGTGACTGGTGGCTCCTGCGCAAGGCAGCACAGCTATAGAACATTTCAGTCATCACAAGAAGTCTACTGAACATCACTAATTTGGGCAATACACACTTGTTTTTTTCTCTTTGCAGATCAGTGAGATTGTTGGCTATGAAATAAAGCCCACTGAAACGACTTGTCTCTCAAATATGCTGGAATTTGGATTTGGCAAATTCATTGAAAAGTAAGACTTCTCCTTTCAGAAAGTTTTTTGGTCAAGCTATCTATAATTTCCTACAGTTATGTGACTCAATGGCCATATAGCAGGCTATATTTCTCATTCTGGTTTAGGATAACCTCTATTTCAGCTGACTAGCAGCTGGTGAAGCTTTCATCTCCAGCTGTGGAGTTTCTGTTTTTTGTTTAATATTTATTTATTTGGCTGCACAGGTTCTTAGTTGCAGGATCTTTGATCTTCGTTGTGGCATGTGGGATCTTTAGTTGCAGCATGCACACTCTTAGTTGCATCATGTGGGATCTAGTTCCCTGACCAGACATTGAACCCAGCCCCTTGCATTGGAAGCGCAGTGTCTTAGCCACTGGACCACCTAGGGAAGTCCCTCCAGTTGCAGAGTTGATGTCAGATTATGACTAGAACACTGAGTTAGAGATTCTATTTCAAAAATAAAATTTTTTAAAGAGTTCTTTGAACCTGAGCTCCAAGTCCAGCTAGACTTTGGGCAAGACCATAGAACCTTTCTGGGCCTCAGTTTTCTCCTTGTTAAACAAACAACAGCAACAAACAGGAGGGGCTTTCTGAGCCAAATGAAATATGGTCAAATGAGAGATCTCTTCACTTGCTTTCTCTCTTTCTCCAAATGCCCCTGGAGTGTGCATGTGAGAATTTGTACTATTGGAACTGCTGTTTTTATGACCAGAGAGTCTCAGAACCCTGTTTGTTTTTCCATACTTCCTTCAGGGTGATGGGTGGGGAGATATGTTCCTGAGACTAAAGACCCTTTTATGCAACTGGGTTTGGGCTCACTCAACACACATGATTCTCAGACTGTGACCCCAGTCCAGCTGCATCAGCGTCACCAGTGAACTTGTTAGAAATGCACATTCTCAGGCGCCACCCCAGTTTGTTCAATCAGAAATTCAGGGGGTAAGCACTGCAATCTGTGCTTTTTTTTTTTTTCAATCTGTGTTTTAATAAATCCTCCAGGTCAGCGCTGTGCAGCACGGGAGCAGCTTGCTACATGTGGCCTCTCATCCTTTGAAATGTAGCTATTCTGAATTTGATGCACTGAGTGTGTAAATATAGGCTGGACTCCAAAGATTTATTAAGGAAAAGAAAAAGCAAAATACCTATTTTAAATAGTGATTATGTGTTGAAATTATAATATTTGGGGTTTATTGTTGTTGTTCAGTTGCTCAGTCATGTCTGACTCTTTGCGACCCCATGGACTGCAGCAAGCCAGGCTTCCCTGTCCTCCAC